ACGACTGTTTGGACGCTATTGTGACAAAATGTGGTGAAGTTACAATGGTTTCTATTTTTCTGTCACAACCTCGGCACCATGTCACATACGATCGACAGAAAAAAATGCATGCAGGCAACATTAACCTCTTCGCCATTTGTACATCACAGAGGTTCAGGGTAATTTATATATAGTGAAGGGAGTTCCCTTCACTTTATATAAATTAATGGAGCACTATTTATTCGCCGATCTAGTATAACAATACGAATATAAATTTATCAACACTGTTACGATGTGTTTATGTTGTTTCACTCATCTATATCGAATCTCAAAGTAACCCCGATTAAGAAAACTGTGTTAACAGGTAAATGTAGTGGAATCCATCAGTGTATTCATTTAAAGCACAACCGACCGTTTTTAAAGTGTTGTTAAAAATTAGCTCTTATATGAGATACAATAAGTAAAAGTACGTTTATACGTAATTTCTAAGGTAAAATTATCGGTCTATAAATAATAGACCTTTTTAAAAAAACGTATTGCTGAAGTAATGTAGCGTAAAATTAATGCGTCATTAAAATCAATATTGTTTTTGCTACTCGTTTTTGTTCCATCGGCCATGATCACTTTGTAGAATTATTTATTCCTTTTCTTATTCAACCAATAATAGATTTAGTTTAAAAAATATATATATATTACTGTTTGTATCATGATGGTAATTCTCCATATAAGCAGTTGTAATTTATGAATACAATGTAAATGCTGAGTACTGTACTGCATACTTCCAAAAAAGGTTTCTTTCGTTAAGACAATTTTAGCTAGTTTTGAATTGTTCAACTAAATTGACAAAAATTGTCATTGTTTAGAACCCACCATTTTTCTTTCTTATTCATATTCATATTTTTTGCACGTTTACCTCTTTACTATTTGATAAAAGAAATATTTTGAGGTTAGATGTACTAAAAGTAGTAAAGTAAGTAAATAGTAAAAAAGTTCTCGCAACTCGCAGCGTTAATATTCGCTTCGGTAACCGTGGAGATTCCATTTTCTTTTGGGATTCCTGCGCTTTGGAACGAAGAAGCCGTCTGACTCAAAGTGAATAAAGGCAAAAGTACAAGACACGTCGTGCACGTAAATCATGCAGAATCTAGCTTCTGCTTGTCTCGAAAATACTATACAGATAATACAAGTATCTTTGAAGATTGTGCACGTTTGTAAACGTTATTTAAAATGTACATAGTAAAATATTATGTTTTATTTACAATGGGACTTTTAGTACCTATGATTTTAAGAAATGTTCGCCTTTTTACTGTTCAAACTTTGTAATTTTTTCTTCCACTACCCGATATGAAACTAACCCAAGGTTTGAAAGTTTTGGTGATATTACGTTACCGATTATATTTATATGTAATTTTTGTTATAAATATATGACGAAAATAGGGAAAAAATAATGACAACACAAACAAATTGAGGCTTTTTCAGTAATTGTGAAAATTAGCCAAACTAAATTTTATTTTACAATTTACGGACAGCAGAGTGTCGATAAAGAATTTAATTGACCCATATACGCATTATACCGTATAATAATATGCACTTTACACTTATACCAATCTGATCGTGAAATCGGCTACCATAATTTTTTTTATTGAATTTACCGTTCCTACGCCTTACGTCAGGCCAGAGCTCGTCAGTATTGTTTTATTCCTAAATTCAATGACGTAGGTTTCGTTTTAGAACATGTAAGACAGAAGTAATCTAACTAACAAATCAGATTCCAGCATTTTCCTGTTTGCAATTGTTAAGACAAATAAATAAAACATATTTCCCCTTATTGTCATGCGTTACTGTATTTTTCCAAAAGGATGAATTAAAATTTAAGCTTAAATCTGGCGAATGTGTCGCGAACGCGTTGCATGTGCGATGCGCGCGTGCTGCTCGCACATTGCACGCGTGCTAATAGCGTGCAATGAAATACATGTTGCTATAAGTGGCGCGGGCGAACGACATGCGAATAAAATGAAATACAGTCATGATTATATATGTGGCGCGGACGAACGACATGCGAATAACTAACGTAATGCTCGTGTGCAGCACGTGAGCCTTTCGCAAACAGGCGCATTTGCGCCTCATTCGCCAGATCTGTATGCACCCTTAGGAGCACATTTGAATCATGAACACATGCTGGCTTTGGAAGTTTGTAAATTTTTTCACGTTTTACATATTTGTTGTGTAACTAGTTAACAGTGTTAAAAGTTTACATGTTCTACCAGTTGCATTTTTTATGATAGTAAGTGGCGGGACGAAGAAGTCGTGCTCTTGGTGGTAACGTAACGTCTATTCATAGCAGTTGCAGTGATACGCTCAGAGCTTAAATCTTAAAGAATTAAAAGGCACTGCCACTGCACCCATAAGCCACCAATTGCACCAGCAATCTTGCCCTTCGAAACCGAAACGTAGTAATGCTCACATTACTGTTTGGTGGCAGAAATAGATAAGCGAACACTTTCACAAGAAGCTCTACTGCTACTAAAATTTAAGCCCCATTAAGCATCTTTTTAATGATCTTATCATGAATGAATCTTTGCTTCCAAATTAGTTTCATCTTAATAAACTGAGATTTCACAAATCGTTTCAAATTTGTATTGGAAAAACTTTGACAAACGAACTCCCCCTTTTCGTCCAGTCGCTTGTTAAATACGACGTAAATGCATTATTTATTTGTCATCTCATTGCTTTTGGTAGTTGGTGTGAGATATTGTAAGAATAATTTCGTTTACTAAACATATAGATACAGTTCAGTAGTGTGTTGGTAATTTTACTATGTATACGTATTTTTTAAATCCATTGTTATAAAACAATAACTCCAAAAATGTTTTTTAACATGAAAACGGATGTATGTACATTTGAATTTATTTTGGTGAGTATTTGCGCTTAGTGCGGAGCAGCTTTTGGTGAAATTACAGGCACATGAGACTTGTCAACTTATGCCTCATGTTGACGGGCGCAGTGTCAGTGCCTCTAACATATTTACGATTTAAAGCTCTGAGTGGCACTGCAACGATAGGGGTGTCGCTTACCACCAGGCGCTCGACTTGCTCGTCTCGTCACTTGGTATTATAAAAAAGCTGATTTTTTGGCGATTTCAGGGAGGAAGTTAACACCATTTGTAGACGTACATCGCTATTCTAAGAAACGGTTGTAACACGCATATACTTGAAATTATAATGCAAGTACATCCCATACGTTTACAGTTACGTTAGTACAACGTTTGTTTACAATAGTATATTGAAGTGTAAGTGGCTTCTGAAGTGCTAGGCTAGTATTGTATTATCTGTAGTAAAGTATTATAATAAAATCCGTTTTTCTATGCTTTCCGTTGGAAAAGTTGAAGCTAGCGTTGTTGTCACGAGCTTGCAAGAGGTCCTAGTTTATTAATTGACCTGGTCAATGACTGAAACGTAATCACGAAAAGCAAAAAAAAAAATTTTTTTTTAAGCATTTTCATTGCAGGAATCCTTACTAGGTACTATTCTGCGCTCCTATATTATTAGTTATATTAAATAACTAACGTAATCACCATTTTTAGCGAAATTAAGTTATTAACATAATATACACTATAATCGGTTGTTTTACTATTTATTTTATATAATGTAATATATATATTATTTAGTGTTGCAAAATCAGCGTAATTGACATTTTTCAAAGACAACATACTTCAGAATATCTCCAAAATGCAAATGCGTTGGTTGTTACAAGGGCAGTATTGTACTGTAGTTGCTAAAGAAAACTTATGTTTCATACATTTGTATATTCGGGTCTAGCTGAGCTGCTTTTTTAACCAAGTTCAATAAAGGAGTAGGTTCTAAATACTACTGTACATTTTTTTTGTATGTACGCTACGCGATAACTCCGGCCATATATAATATTTATGATAATTTGTGAACCGATTTTGATGATTCCTTATTTGTTGGAAAGGGGTTACCTCAATAGTGGTTCCTATTTAAGTTTCAAGAAAATATTCCACCTCTAAATATGGCAAACTAGGGGATGAATGAGTTTTGATGTCAATTTTTTTCCAAGTTTTAATAGAAGTCTCTAAAGTAAAAGTAGTTTGTTTTCATCTACTGAACGTGACCTTAAAATGTTAATTAATGTTTCATAATAATTTTAATTTACCCATTAAACATTGCCCAATACAAGGCGTATGATTAACGTATGAAAACCAAATTGTACGTAATTGTGCAACACTATAACAAAAATTGCATAACTAACGTATAAAGCATATGGTTGGCAAGAAACAAATATAATAAACATACGAGTATTCACTCTGCTAAATCTCGTATACTTTAGTTTATAATTACATATTTTTTTACTTATATCAGGCGAGTATCACATATATATCTTGCCTAGGAACACATTGGAAACGTGTGGAAACTCATTTAATGACGCAGCTTCAAGCTTAAATATGAACAAAGATACTTCATGACGACATTGTCGCAACTGTATTTAACAAATGATCTATCTTAATTGTATTTATACGATTATAAGTCTGTATATATGGTTTGTTTAATAATGAATGAATTTAAAGTTGTGACATAGATATTCTGAGAGAATCTGTACGACGAAAGGAAACAACCAAGTTATTGAAAAATTATTTTAATTATATTGCCATTGGAAATAGCGCAGGTTAATGTAGAATTTCCAATTTGTTAACGGACTTTGCTCAGGTTAATAGACCTTTTTGCCCTTACACAGAAAATCTGTTTTGGTACATTGAAGAGCATATGAAACTTATATTTGTGGCGCATTTTGTCCCGTTGTACTACAGGCGATATTCGAACAAAAGTGTCAAGCTTCCTGTTAGGGATATTACTGGAATATTATGACGATATTATTGCAACTATATTTGACAGGACTTAATCTGATATTTCTTTATTATCATATAATTTAATTCTAGTACATATCTGCCTTTCGATTTAGAACATACTGAGTACGACCGTTTTAATAAAACAATACGTTTACAGAGCCTGGCCATCTCCAAGGCGATCAACTCGGTAGAGACACCGGTAAAAGAGAAACATGTCCGCAGCACGATTATCGGCACTTTTCGGGAGCAGAGCGCCGTCACGTACTGGGTAATTAATTACCAAATTAATATAGAAATAAGCCATGAATTATATAATTGTATCACAGCACATTGTGAGCTTCAATGTATAAATCTATCTAGAGATAAACTTAGTGCAGACTATGTTGTCTATCTTCGGGATTTATTTCTTTTTCTTAGGCTCAATTATATTGCGGCGGAACGGAATGGAAGCGAATTTTTGTAACTATATTGTACATAGCATAATGGATTTTATGGTCAATTGTGTAACGTACAAACTAGATACGAGCCAATATCTTCCGCGGAATTCTCGCGCATGTTCGAGAATGCTCGCGCATTCCGTTCCATTCCACCGCAATATAAATTGAGCCTTAGTGTGTAGGCAAATAGCTGCACATCGACTGTAACAATCGGCCATGTGCATACAAACTATTTTCATACTCCATTTCAACTGCTATTTTGCAATTGCGTTTACGATTGACTTGACTTGCCAGCATATTAGCACTGAGTCCCTTACTAGACGATGGCTTTATATGGTTATCTTAGGTTGCTTGATGCCGAAGTGATGGCAAGCGGGGTTAATCCCTCAATCGTTTTCTAGTTCTTACAGCTACCGGGCATATACAGGATTCCTTCAGCAACTTTCACTCTTTGAGATACTTTATATGATGAAATTTATAACACAGTTATGTTTTTAGCGCATGTTGATTTACCTCTAAGTGTTTGTGGTAATTACATCGCTTGTGTAGGTATGATAAGATATAATAAGTAATATTGTACACAGATGTTGGTAAACCTAATAAATAAATAAATAAACTACTTTTTCAAATATTTACTCTCTTTAACGGCTTTTCTATTGTTTTTTATTCGCAGATGGTTGCCCTCCGACTCCCCCTACAAGATAATCGGATCGTCGCTTGGAAGTTCTGCCATGTGACACATAAGCTATTACGCGAAGGACACCCAGCCTGTCTCGATGATTCGCAGCGGCACATCACCATGATCGAGAACTTGGCTAAATTATGGGTATTGTCTTTTTGCATTTCAATTTGAGTGTAAGACTTCTTTATGACTTATAAACAAAGAATTCGTCCAGTGATGTAGAAAATTCCACTCGAAATTGACGAATGTACACACTGTGTATGCTTAAATATCACGAGAGTGCCTTGAATACTAATGAATAAAATTGCCTATGGTAAATTTCTCAAACGACCACATACACTTCTTAGGTACTATGGCGTATGGCGTAGCTCGACAGTAAGATGGTGGGATTTATAAGATGAAATCTTCGTTATCGACAAGTAACACTTACATAAAACTCGCTGTGTAAGTTCGTATTTAAGTTTCATAAGAATACTTTTAAATTTTGGCACTTTACCTATTGGAACTGGCCTTATTTTACGTTAAAAATGACGTATAGAACGGAAAATGCCAATTAATATCAGATTGAAAACTTGCTATTTCTCCTGAAGTATTTTGTGCTATGACAAGAGGTTCTTCCAAAAGCGTGTCTAAAGGGCTCTCAAAGACTGGCAACGCATAGGCAGCTCAACTGATGTTGCAAATCTCAATGCCTCGTTTGCTGGTTTGCCTCCTAGTTTACATATAAAAAAAAGAAGGAGAAACAATATAAATTACACTGGAACTAGTTCCTTAAAATAACAAAACCAAAATATAGTCACGATTCAGAACAGTTCAACTTGAAAAGTACAATAAGGTTGTATAGTTTAATACATACGAACAACTATTGTTGACTTAACAGAGCTCGGCGAAAGGCGGTAAAACCTTAAGAAATGTTTCATACAGTTGCGAGTTCCGTAAACGTATAAAGTTCCTCTAATACACTACGCTCGCTGGGCCATTCCCCAAGATTACCTAGAGCAAAGAGCAAGCCGAAACTCACAACTAAGATTATAGCCACGAATAATACTCTTCTTGACCAGACACGTTGCAAGACAAATCTCAGATTATAGAATATTGCACCCATGGTGTAATAAGACCACTTCTAGTAGCAGTAAATTGTGTCCTTGTTAAAGAGTTCGTCCAGGGCAGTAGTGCCTTAACTATTTCTGCCGCCGAGCAGTAATGTCGGCGTTACTGTGTTCCGGTTTTGAAGGGTAATGGGACATATGGGACTTGTCAACTTAACGCTCAGGGTGACAGTCGTAGTGGCAGTGCCCCTCAGATCTATGCCATTTGAAGCTCTGAGTGGCACTGCAACTGTTATGGACAGGCGTGTAGCTTACCTTCAGGCGCACGATATGTAAGTCCCATCACCTGATATTATAAAGAAAAACATCTACAAAATGACAACTTTTCAGGAGAGATAGGAAATGAAACTATTTTATCGGATCTTAAACTCTCTGCCGTGTCAGTCAGCCGTGATCAAACACTTAGAAACAAACTCTGTACTGTGTGTTCGGTTAGCCGGAATCACGAGATGTATAAATCAAATATTCAATGTGTATAGTACATTCGTCATTTGGTATTTCCTCATTGCATTATCTTGTAAATCATTTCGCTTAATACCCACGCTTAGATGGCTTGTGGGTGACTGCAGTAAAGTTGCAATTTAGTATCCAAGGAGACGTTACAACATAGACAGGAATTTCTGTGTCTATGTTGTAGGTCTGTTCCACAGCAGCAAATTCATTGCTCATAGGTTTTAGTCCTGATCTTAGTAATTGGAGATTGGTGACAACTGCGCTCCGATTGGCCAGCCCGAATTCGAAACAATTGATGGGTGTCGTCAAACGTTTCACTTCAAATCGACCAGTTCAGCTAGAGCTTTGCTATAACGAAAATTGCATATTTAGTATTTCATTACCGATGAAATGTGATTCCGTTTGTTTTGTAATTAGATGTTTTGCTGTTTTTCCCACACCACCGGAACAGCCCCCCCCCCCACCCCAAGTTACAGATATTATCTTTATTACAATAAATACAGAATATTTTTGGAACATACGGAGGCGTACACACAGGTCGGTTGTTGGCGCTGTACTATTTCAGTTTTCTTATTTGTGATGTCAGTGCAAGCGAGAATTGATATTTAAAAGTTATTTAATTCCCATTTACCTGATGAGTTGCCAGGGATGGATGGCCCTTATTTTGTCTCTATTTCTGGTTATATACTCGATGTTGGAGATGAAGATAATTTATTATTTTATGTACATCTCTAAATAATATTGTATATATAATAAAATAAATCATTAATAACTGCATCCGTGGCCGAACGGTTACCATGATGAACTGCCACGCAGAGGGTTCGATTCCTGGGGCGGGAGAAATATTTGTATCGCTTACATTTATTTCTCTCGTGAGTTTGGGTGTAATTTGTGGTTGTCTATGTGTGTGTCCATGGCATCCGTGATACAGGGTTTCCCTAGTGCGAGGGTATGAGTGTATGCGTTATTATTATATTATATTAGTTATATAGGTGAGCTTAGTAGCACGCATGTCGGATGCCATATAGATAGTCTGTTTTAATAATATAAGTTATGCCGATGATATGGTGTTGCTGAGCCCTGATCTGTCGGTGGCTTAAGAGTAGTTATAGTCATATGCGACTCGTATGCCATGAAGCATAATCTTAAATATAATGTGCTCAAAAGTGAATATATGGTTTTTAAGGCGGGAAGTAAGTGCCCATCACATGTCCCCTGCATTCGTCTTAACGGTCAACAGCTGAATAGAGTGACCTCCTGTAAATAACTTGGTCACTTTATAACAGACGATCTGCGCGATAACGCAGATATTGAGAGGGAACGTCCAGTATTAGCAATGAGAGCTAATATGATAGCGCGTAGGTTCAGTCGATGTACGGCACAGGTAAAAGTGACTTTATTTAAAGCTTACTGCACATCGCTGTACACCTGTACTTTATGGTGCAGGTACACACAAAAGTCACTGAATGCAATGCGTGTACAGTACAACGACGCGTTCAGGGTTCTGTTGCGGCTGCCGAGTCCGTAATAAATGCATTTTATTTTATTTATTTTGTTTATTTTATTTATTATTGAATGGGTGTTTATTTTTAAGTTATTTTGTTTTTTGTCAGGTACATCTCCGCGAAGGCTATGGTCGCCTGGTTAATTTATACTGTAACCTGCTGGTAACAAAACTGAAGTTCCACGCTCGGAACCCCCGCTTCCCCGGCAATATGGCGTTGACAGCTGACGAACTGGACAATATCGCTGAAAACGACGTTAACAACTAGTAAGATATTGTGTTGTAACACGCTTAAGGGAATCACCACAATGATCGATGCGGAATCGTCTTGAGACGATCATAATAAGCTTTATGTCCGTACAGTAAAAGCGAAAAAGACGTAATGCGTTTTGCTTGTTTGTTTGTTTTTTTTTTGTTTGTCGTTTTCGCTCTTCCGGTTCAAGGCGATTCCTCGCCAATAGGTGTGGTGACTCCCTAAGAAGATTAATTTAAAATGAGCAACTATTATGCCTCAAGGGGTCTACAGACCCAACCCGCCGACCCGGAATGTTTCTGGAATTACGTCATAGGATTAGATTACAAATAAGGCCGCCGACACCAAGCCGCTGGGCGGTGTAGCCGGGTCGGCGGGTACGGTCTGTAGACCCCTTTAGAATAAAAATATTCTGTGGTGAATTTTGTTCTTTAACTTTACATTCAAAATCATTTTCCGTTTTTTATTTGTTTTTGTCTTGTAGACGAATGTCCGAAATAAAAAGTAAGTTTAATCGTTAAGTAATAATTAGATTATGTCATGACTGTTGCTTTACAAATTTCGAAATCATGGGAAATAATTTTTTACAATCATGTTACAGCTTCCAGTTATGCGTTGAGTTGTTCGATTATATGGATGATATCCTTGCGTTACAAGCTGCGGGTGAGTTATATTTATGAATATTTCAAATCACCTCTTTGGTTATTGAACCGACGTGATAATAGTGACAATATGTCTTCACATATTTATTCAATGACCCCTCTGTTTTTCAGTTTTCGACAGTCTTGGCAATGCACGAGCGAACTCAATGACAGCAAGCGGTCAGTGTAGATTGGCCGCCTTAATTCCGTGTGCACAGGACGCTTCGCAAATTTATGACACAAATGTCCGTTTGCTGTTCCGACTACATGCCTTCCTTCCACCTGATACTCTTTCTGGACATCGACACAGGTAAGCGATTAAAAAGAAATTGCGAGGAAGCCAATTTCATTGTTTACTCCAAGCTCCGTTTGGTGCACCGTGCCGTGTCTAGCTATTAGAGCCTACACAAATGGCGTATTTTTTACGCGCTTATGTCGCGCTGATATCTTGCCCCTTTCACGGTGAATTCTGCAAGAGGCACGTCGGCCAGATGGTACAGACAGCAATAGAGGCGGTGTACTAGTACAAGCCCAAGGTTTTCATCTGAAGATTTTACAGCGGAGGCCTGTTGTATATCTCTTTGGTAAACGGTTGTCAAAGAGTTGTTTGACATATATAATTTATTGAATAAAATATCGTAGCACATAAAGTATGTTTTAATGAATATATTACAAATTAGCTTTGCAACGCGATATTGTTGCTCTGGAATCGATTAGAACGTGCGTAAAACGCGATACAAACTAGCTTTGAACGCGTTTTGTGCACGCGTTTGAATCGATACTAATTCAACAATCTGTTTTTTGAGTGTGTGCGGTGCTGTAAACGCACATAAGTATGTGAAACGCACCGTGTATAAAATACACCGTGTGCACTACGCGGATGATCTTTATATGCACACTCTTACTGCGGTACTTTAACACAGTCCATGCAGCTTTTACTGATGTACTTTTACACTTACACGAGAGATCTTACCGCGGCCACTAATAGTGCAATCAAAATAGCAACATACTACTCAAAGTCAATACAAATCTAAAAATAAGACATCGACAATTAAAGGAGAGTAAGTCCTTTAATCAACTTTCTCGTTGATATAGGGATTTTTCAGTAAGTTTTTTGTATGTTAAGTTTCAACACGGAATATACATATTTTGAGTGTTTTTTTTATGTTTCATAGATTCCAGCAACAGTTCAAAAAACTAAGTCAGTTCTACAAACATGCGAGCAGTCTGCAGTATTACAGGAACCTACTCACTCTACCCGTCTTGCCTTCCAACCCACCTAACTTCCTATTACAGGTAAAATAATACGAATAGAAAGTATGTGTAGTTTTAATTTTGATTCTTTGGTATACACGTCATCTATGATTTTGTTCATAGAGTAAAATGAAAAAAAAAAAAAAAAAAAAAAAAAAGTTTTCTCTCTATGGAGACAAAACATTTACACATTACAGCTATGGCTGGAATTTAAATAAGTAAACGCACAACTTTATATTTGATTTATTTTAATAAGGACAGTCAAGAGCGTGCTGAGGTTTACACTTGGGATTTTGTGACCGCTCATAATAAGTCTTATTAGAGTCTAATGTAAATTTAAATGTAAACCACATCGTGCAGTTGACTGTTCCCATTAAAATTTAAGAAGAAAGCATTCGTGTTTGAAAAATCTGCGAGACTGCATTAGTTGTTTTTTTTTGTAACGCACACACTCAACATAGTCCCGCACCAGGGAAACCCTGTGTCGCGGGTGCCATGGACACACACATAGACAACCACAAATGACCCAAACTCACGAGAAAAGTAAATGTAAGCCATACAAATATTTCTTCCGGCCCGTGAATCGAACCTGGGATCTCTGCGTAGCAGTCCGGCATGGTAACCGTTCGGCCACGGAGGCAGTTAACTTGTTGGCTGGAGGACCATTTAAAAGTTGTTGCCTAGAAAGTTCTATAATGTTGCTTAACCTCCTATATTGGAGGAACGAGAATAAGAATGTCAATTTAAAACTGTTATTTGTTATTGTTATTGTTATTTGTTAATTGTTATTATTATTAAAAAAAATTGGCCTTTTATAAAGTCAATTTGCAGCGCCTCAGAATATATAAGTAATTGTTTTTTTCTTTTTCAGAGTGACTTCGGCACATACGTGACGCCAGTAGTGTCAATTCCGGATCCTCCGCCAGACGAAGTGGACTCCGTTGGTTCGCTGATCGACACTTCGGACACTATTAGCCAGGTAACTTATTCAGCCCTAGCGCCATCTCTCTGATGATGACGCGACATTATATATTATCTGTTGATGCAATATACCCACAAGCAATAATAGAAAAGAACCTGAAGGTCAGCAGCGGCGCCTCCCAAATTTGGCGCTTTGATAACCTTGTTACCTTCGAAAAGAGAGTAAAAGTTCAATAGCAATGATAAATTACGGGGTTGATGTACTCTTTAACAAATTAAATACCTAACAATGCTGGCCACCATGTATTTTTTTTATAATATCATGCGACGGGATGAACATGTCGTGCGCGTAAAGATAAGCTACAAGGCTGTCCTTAACAGTTGCAGTGCCACTTAGAGCTTTAAATCGCAAAGATCTTAGGGGGCACTGCCACTACGCCCGACACCCTCAGACATAAAGTTGATAAGTCCCATGTGCCTGTAATTTCACCAGTTTTTCACCGCTTTTGAAGGGTAAGGACCCTAATGATAACATTACTGCTTGGCTACTGGGCGAACTCTTTCAGAAGGAGCTCTTCTGTTACTAAATTTAATTTTTTATTATATTCTTAACTCGTTAATAAATAGTGTTGCACACAAAAGTGTGAATACCTTTCTTTGTGCCCTAGTACTTAAATTAAGTATAAAATGTTCAATGTAAACATTGAATTTTGTCAATATGTTGTTGATACGTCTCTATGGAGAAGCTGTAGGCGGCAATTACACAGGAAGCACTTGGAAATCGTACTGTAACGCGCGTAGTTTGTTTTTTAATATCTATATAGCGGAAGGGGGTAGGCCGTACTACCACATTCTGATATTAAATTTTACGATAAACAACGTCACTGAATATGAACGGGTTAAGTATATTATATTTATTTTATACCATACAAATTAACCATAAAATTTTGGCCTATTAGTATCTTATAATTTTTGTTTTAAGTATAGCACTAACCTTTTGTTTTGCACTTATAAATCGCATTGTAAAGAGTTGGTTTTTTGAAATCCATATAGCGAAATGAGGCACCCCGTACTATCATATTCTGATATTTAATTTTAAGGGTAGGCGCCGTTACATTAACAGATTAAAACACTAGAATACAAAAATATTGTGTTAGCGTTGATGAAAAATATATTCCCCGGTTTCACAAATTCGAATTTTCAACCAATGGAGACGTTTAGTATAACAGTTTAAAAAATGCATAATAACTTTTCGATCACTCTAATATTGTTGAAGCTTATGTAATTTAATACTAAAAACGCAAGGTGACTCAAATTATGTGACCGGGAATGTATTTGAATAGTCCAAAATGTCATTTATACTTTAGTATAAAATTTAATTGTAATTTTATTTTTGGAAATTTACAATTTGGTAAATTACCTACAAATAGTTGGACGTGCTGGTGCAGGTTTGTGTGGGAAGTCGGAAAATTTTTCTCCGTAATTTTGAAAGTCACATAATTATTGTTTTTTTTTTAATAAAAAGCGTCTTTGTTAGTTTTCTCTACTTGCTATATGCTGGCATTGCAACAATTTTTAAAATTATTACTAATAACGATTCTGTTACACGTGATTCTTTAGGCGACAACACCGGACCATTTGGACGCGTTCGACACGCGGGCAACACCTTCACCGCAGCCGGACCCCATAATAGAGAGGGACCGATTGATCGACCATTTGCAAAACGAACTTGGGCGATTAAGGTATATTCCACAATTTATCTGCCATACGCAACGAGTAGGAAAATCGATGAACGTTTATTGTCACTATCTAATCGTACAAACAGTGGCTTCGGCGCGCTACTTAAATATGGACTTGTCATATAGAGGGTTCTTTGTAAAATACTGATAACACGGTTGTTGTTTACGATATTGTTAGTATCATAAACAACAACCATGCCTTTATACAAAACGTAATGAATTTACCAAAAATAAACTTGTAAGTTTTTATTGTACTATCTGGTTCTTTTTAGATCTGTATCTGGTAGTAACATATTAAGTTCAAACGTGCATCTCCGACGACCCTAAGCCATGCTCTTGCGTTGTTAGTATTCAACAAATAACCCTGTATGTGTGCCAAATATTTAGGTTTTTTAATTAATTTATTTTATGCGGAAACAGGTCGGAAGCCTCCCAAATGGTGCAAGAAAGAAATACAATGTTGGGTTCAATGAAGGATCATTATATGAGACTGGAAACACAGCTACAAGCTGCTAAGGTAATAAAGTGTAAACAAGTTACGGCAGAACACAAATGTTTAAATTTCGTGCTGCAACAGGTATATTGTGAAACCAACTAGTCAGTCATGCGTCAAAACCACCCGGCCACCCGGTTCTTTTATTTATGGACTATTATTGATTTTGAAGAGTGGCTAATGGTACTGTCCGCTGGTTTTAGACAGTATGTTAAAAATATTTAGAATTGTACAATATATTTCTTATATTTAAAAAAGAAAAGTGAATTAATAACTTTGAAAGTTTAAATTCAACGTTATTAAACGTTGGACTTTCACTGCACACGGCGTTTTTTAGCATTGTAAGTTTAGAAAGATATTATAATTACCATACGTCCATCTACGGCACTATAGGGATGCAATTGCCGCCATCAAAACTGTAACACAGATTAAAATAGCTCCTTCGCAGTATTCTGTGTTCTTTGACCTGGGTTTCCATAATGGTGGGTCCAAAGTGTTTTGAATCTTTATCGAAACGTCGGTAATGTTACCAGTGCTAGTTTTGTAAGTATTTACCCAGGATTTCTTCACTTGTTGTACTCTACAAAATCGTTTAGTGCTGACCACATGTGCACGTGACAGACATTACCAGTAGCCACTCTTGGAAATATAAGAAATTTCATAAATTTTGCCTTAAATTAAAAAAACATATTTTTAGAAATATGTAATACTAAGTAATAATTTATTTGATTACTGCATTCACAGATCGAATTGGAAGAGGAGAAGCAGAAAGCCGAATTACTATCATCGCAAACGCCGGAGATGCAAAGTAAGTTTCATTAAACTTAAAGTATTCCCATAATTATGCTTCTTGTAAGAAATTATTGCTATTCACTTGTCCATACTATGTTTTCCAGAAAAACTTATCGAAACGGAAGAAAAAGCCAAAGTCACAGACGATAAATTCCAGAAACTCAAGGCCGCATATTCACAATTGAGGGAAGAACACATCAATTTGATTAGACAGGTTCGGCTTTTTACTATTTTAATTTGTTGACAGATATGACACTTTCAAAATGACATACACAACAAAAAGTTTACAAAACTTAAATAATTAGTTTGGTCTGTTCTTAAGTCCGGAATACACTACATTATAAATAGCATCTTCGCCTCTACACTACACGGAGATGCCAATATACAGTTTACACTACCAAAACTATTATTTTTAATTTGTAAGTCAGATCTTTGATCCTCGTTTCGTTTACACTCCATAATTATGTGGTAAACATCTTCCACAATCCCACATTGAGTACAATTTGGGCTGTCAGGTTTTCCCATCATGAATGCAAATTTATTCAGTAGAATGTGACCGTAACGTAGTCTTAAAGCGCTAACTAGATCATGTGTCTTAATTTTGTGCTCAGCAAACCAGGGAGAACGAGGGAGTGTAGGCTGAATAGTTTTGTACCATATCCCTTTTGTCAAGGATCTTTCATCAAAATATTGAGATCAAAGATCGTAGCAGTTCTTTTTGACCTTATGTAAGATGTCCGTGTACCACGGTAAATAGTCAGTGACACTTTCATTTTGAATTTACTTAGCAAAGCTTATGCAAACAAATACAGCTCGTAGGTAATACGTATGTCCTGTTACATGTATTTTGTTTTAGAAAGCAGAAATTGACAAAATGGCTGCAGGTTTAAGAGCGGCAGCTGTACAGAGCGAAAGCGCCAAAGCGGCTCTACAACAGCAACTGAATGATAATATGAAGTAAGTATATTGCATTAGTTTCAGGAATAAACTAAACTTATTATAACAATAAAACAAATAGACAACTGAAACCGTATTGGATCAGCTTAGACAATGGCATTTAATTCTCCGTTTGCTTATTAAATTATTGAATGTCAGGCTGTTTCTCCGCCATGATATTCAATTATTTTTTGTGAAATTGCTCCACTAGTTTGTTGTAATTATTAATACATAGAAAAACATCTCTACAGTCCATTTGTTTAGGTACTTAACTAAATGCAAACAATCTTGATACATCTTTTTATTGAAATATATACTTTACAAATCAATAGATATAAAAATTGGCATGCAATTTCATATGAAACTAAGTATTTGTATTTTGTATTTGTAGATAAGTAAAAATTATTTTATAAATGTAGATTCATTAAATAGACACATGCATAAACAAATGGACTATAGATAGCTGCTAAAGCTACCTTTTTTTTTTCTTTTTTTTTTTACGGGGGGGAAATCTTTATAGAAACCCCTGAGCCCAGGGAGACTCAGGGGTTATGTGGGGACATTCCCTCCAGGCTGGAGGTCCTACCCTACTAAAACCCCGCCGGTTGAGTCGGCGCCGTGGGTTCGGTGCACATTCACCACGACACGTCGCCCGGTGCTAAAGCTACCTGGCTGCGTGAAGATATAGATTTATCACAGATGGCGCTACGGTAAAATAAGTTGTTAAAAACCAAAACAAAAATCATATAGGAAAATTCGTAAAGTCCGCTGGTCCGTTTCCTGACTTAGTTGGCATTGCGTCTAGCACGGTTTGCTAGAAAGAACAGTTTGACAAGCAACATTATGAAATCATTATTTCCTCTAAGCAGAAATTTTAGGTCATAGGTAATTTTAGGCCACGCCACGCTGGCCCAATGCGGGTTGAAAAATGAAAATGAAAATTTCATTTTCCAGATTTATACGTTTTCCAGCGGTTGCGAACCTTTTCGACGTGCAAGTTTCATTATTAGTATAGATGTAAATATATGTTATATGTTTTGTAGGGACATGGAAATACTCCAGCAAAACGCGTCATCGAGTGACGAGATTGAAGCTTACAAAACTGAAATAACACACTTGCGAGCTGAATTGGAACAATCAAGACAAAAAGAGACAGAACTGGAAACTTTAAAAGCATCTATAGAAGCTTTAGAAATCGAACATAAAACTGCCACTGCCGAACAAGAAGAAAAACTAATGACTGTAACAAATGAATTGAAAGAAGTCACTGAGAACTTAGAGAAAGTGAAACAAGATAAAGAGGAGAGTGACAATGAGTTGAATAGAATCAAAGCGGAATTGGTAGGACTCAGAGAGAAGAGTGGAGATGAATATAAGAAGGTTGTGGAAGAAAAAGAAGCTGCCTTGAAACAAATGGCCGAGTTGACGCTGCAGTATCAACAAGAAAAACAGGTTAGTGATGTAAAATTTCCTGCTGTACCTTTTATAATGTTCATATGTAATATGACGCAGCCATTTGTAGCATTCCAATCTGCGCATATGGGTTATTACCGAAATCGCCCCTGACCGTCATTGGTAAGAATTTAGGTAAGAAAGATTAGCCAATTAGTCTTTTTTTACTTTTAAAGTAGAAACTAAACAGGATTTAACATTTAGTTTTGTAATTTTAACTATTGTTTTCACCTACTAGTTGTGGGGATTTTGAATAGTTTATACTCAAAGCCCCCATCGAACTGGCTAGCCTTTCACAGTATGGATTAGCCAACGGCAGCAGTCGCTACAAATCTTTTTATACCGATTACTATTTATATATTTTTTAAACTTTTAATTCAGACTCTTTCTATTCAACTTTAAATTTATATGTACTTTTTTAGCGCCTTTTTATGACATGTTCTAATATTCTGTTATTGTTTTGCATGCGCATATTTTTCTACTTTTGTAAAAAATCAACATTATAACGCGCACACACTCATACACTGTGTAATAAACTCTATAAAGTTCATATCGAGTTCTTAGGTTTTCGCGATTGTTAGACATAGGAAATAAAACTGTTTTTCCGGATTTAAATCGTCACCCACACCCGTCAAATCCAGTCAACCGTGACCATGAGACCTGAAAAGGGCCCGAAACGTCAGTTTGTTTGAAAAAACAAATATACGCGATTTAAATCCGGAAAAACAGTTTCATTTCCTATCTATAAAGTTCATTTTGTCTGGTGGTTGCTCACTCGTCGTTAACAGTTGATGTACATTCGAATAGTCTGCTACATCGATCGTCCATCGTTGATACCATCTCAGCTCTATATTGCCACTACTTTCAGAAAGTGAATCTCTAACTAGGTTCTACTTAAAGTTACTTCTAGATATTTAATCTAATTTATATTCTAAATTTTTTTTGTGCTTATTCTATATGTGTGGGTACGGTCAAGGGGGATTGCAGTAATACTATCCTCACGCAGGATTTGCAGATTGCATGTATTATACAGTGTCCTACGAAATTACTAATCAAATAACTTCTAGTTGGGCTTTGTGTACTAATGCTTGTGGTTGCAAAAAATACTTGCATGAATCTTGTTAAAATATTAAGTATGTACCTCGTGCACATTTATTTTGAAAACACATCTGATTACCAAAACATTCATTTTGTAACTTCACTAGGAACAACTACATTGTATTAACGGCTTAAAAGACCAATTAGAAACGTTGCAACAAATACAAAGAGACGCGGAGCAAAGATTTGAAGCAAAGTATGAAAACATGACCATTGAATTTACATCTAAAAATCAAGACTTAGACGAGGCTCTTGCGATGAAAAACTCCGAAATAATCGAAGCTCGTGACAAGCTAGCTATCTTACAAACTGAATTAGGAAACATTAAGCATAATTATGACGAGAAAATAAATAATAAAGACTCGGAAATAGCCAATCTACAGGATAAGATTAACGAATTAATTCAAAATAAAGACTTCACCGATAGTACTATTGATGGCTTAAAAGAAGAAAACAACAAGATTAAAATGGAAATAACTGAAGAGAAGAAGGAAAAAAGTAGATTGATACAAGCTTTGTCTGAAAAAGAGGCCGATATATCTAATTTAGGAAATTTAATCAAAGAACTCGAAGAAAACAATAAAAATCAAAATGAAATCTTGTTAGAAACGGAAAAATTAAAGAACCAAGAAATTTCAGAATTGCAATTTAAATTAGACTTAATTTCTGAAGAAAAAGGAAAAGAGATTGATAGATTACAATTGTTACTCCAAGAAAAAATTGAATTTGGTGATAAGCAGATGACAGAAGGACAAAGCTTATTAAATACCATATCTGAACTTCAAACTTCAATTAAAGACAAAAACAATGAAATCGAAGCATTGAAATCCTATCTTGATGCAGCCACCAGTACTTTAGAAAAACAAAAGTCAGATTTTGAATCACAATTAAAAGAAAATGAATACAACATCTCATTATTAAATGAGAAATTGCAAACTGTTACACATTTTAAAGACGAGATTATCACGGATTTGAAAGCATTAATTGCTGAAAAAGATGAACGAGTTATAGCGCTTAACATCGAAGTTAATAAATTATCTGGGGACGTAGCTAATCTTGAGGCAGAATTGAAAGAATCTCAAGCAGAGCTAGAAATAGGGAGAAATGAATTCCTAATCTTGAAAGAAGAGCATGAGGCTATAATTGCGAGAAACGAAACTGATACTGCTTTGAAAAATCAAGAAGTGAGAAGTCTCTATGATAAAATTAATGAATTACATCAAAAAAATGCAAAATTAGATGCAGAGAAGGAAAGATCTTCTATTGAATTTGCTTTAGAAAAAGAGGTTAGTTTTAATTGCGTGTTGTGTTGTCCTTTTACTACACACTAAATATTTCATTGAATGTGTTTCATAGGTGCTTGAAAACAAAATAAAGAAGTTAGAAGAAATACATGAGACGACTGTGTTTGAATACAATACGATTCAAAATGAAAAAACTGAAGTTGCCAGTAAACTTAATTCAGAGATTGAAAGCCTGAAATTGGAACATGAAAAATACACCGATGTAAAAGAAAAGGAAATCAAATCATTTATTGATAAAATACAAGATCTTGAAAACAATTACACTAATCAGATCTCTCAAAAAGAAGAACAAATTGTTCAGTCTGAGAGGTCAGTTGATGAACTAAACAGACAATTAGATGAATTGCAAACGTTGCGTGAGAAAGAGAAAGCCGATATGTTAGATGAGATGATGAACAAAGACAAAGCATTCCAGGTGAATACAGTGCCGTTTGAAAGTGGCTTTCAATACCTTGTCTTTAATGTCATTGTCAACATATAAATGTTTAAGGTGGAGGTGTTAAATGGTGGTAGTGACATGGTGATCGTAACAGCTCTTACTTATCTACACGTAGTTTATACGCATTTCATTTTACTTCAATCATTTATATTTTCGTTTTGTTGCTTGGCATTTTATGATTTTACTACAATTTGTACTGTGTTGTTTTACTATAGTAGTAACTTTGTACTTGCCCTTCAGTTTAATTTTGTTGTGAATTTATTTAGTAATTAAACTGAGACATATAAATACCTTCAAATTTGTTGTCACACTTTTTTTAGGATTTTTTCTTGGCCCTTTTTTCCACTTTTGTTTCAGCTGCTTATTTCTTCTAATTGCATGTTTTCTTTATTTCTTTTCCGACTTCTGGAATGCGCATGGCCTTCACTTTGGACTTGAAATTCCTGCTTTGGACTCTACCGTTTTCCTGGACTTCAACTTGATCTTACATGGTGGTATAGATGTTGCAAGTTAGGCTCGAGCAAACGGACAATAAAAGATTGAATGCAGAGTGTGAATTGCAGGATCTGCTGCAGCACAACCAAGTGCTGGAAGCTGATCTTGGTGTTCTTAGAAAACAGCTTGAAGACACACAGAAGATGTTGGAACAACGTAAGTTATACTAATTAATAGATAAGGCACTCGCATAGTATTGTTGGTTTTAGTACTCTTTATAACTGTACAACGAGTAAATTGAACAACTATTAAAGTAATGCTTTTTTAAAAATGTATTCAACACTTCTACTGTACGGTACGCTTAGAATTTTAAAATTGATTTGTTTTTTTATATAGAGAGTACAAAGCTGGTAACCTGCACCAGCAACGCAGCGTTAGAAGTAACAAACGAAGCTTTGGCTGCACTGGAGCGAAGTGACGTAAAGGACTCGAACCGCGTCGCTGCTGAACTTGCCGCCAAGGCGCTGGAAGATTTGGCTAAACAGATTGAGGTACGAAAATATTATTTCTTCAAAAAATTCTATAGTTTAGGATATCTACAGGCCTCTCAAAAAGTAGAAACTGTCATAATCAGAAGAGGTTAAATTGCTATAACACGGCAATACAACAGAAAGTCGTGGCCGTTCATCTTCAGGGTATATTGTCACGGTCATTTTTAATTAAAATTAGTTGTTTTTCTTTTGGTTTTTATAATTAACGGCAAATGGTTATTTGTTGTCAGGTAAAAGGCAACGAAGAGACACTGGCGCGTTCGGCGATGTTTGCAGCTCACAACACCGCCACATTATCTGCGTACGTCACTGAAGTCTGTAATACATCTACTGACATGGAACTTTCAGACAGTGAGTTTTTTATCGAGTCTTAGGTCTTAGGTTTTCGCGATTGTTACAAATTGGAAATGAAACTATTTTTCGGTATGTCTACAGGCATACCGCTTAATTGAGTCGGTTCCAGTGATGGTGCGGGAGGAGTGACAGTTTACGTAACAGTTATGTCGCGCTGCACACGGGGCAATTTCATCCAGATTTTTCTGACGATATTCAATAACACTTTGATTGAAAAAGTACCAAATGGCTTGTCTATTAATTTTAATTAAGATCAATGAAATAGTTTTTTTTAAATTATCGTGTCACATAACAACAATTGACTAATTTGGTAGGCACTTTTTTGAGTCAACTTGTTATTGAATATCGTCAGAAACTTCTTGTTGAAATTATCCTTGGTGCAGCACGACATACCTGTTACGTAAGCTGTCACATCTCCCGCATCACGCAGATACCTCAGGAACTGACTCAGTCAAGCAGTAGACCTGTAGTTAAAAGAGAGAAATAGTTACAACTGTTTGTAATGATTACTGGTTTAAGCCCTAATTTTACAGCAACTGGCTTTAAAATGTTCGCTGGTCGCCATTAAAACCTAACACGGTTCTAAATCTCCCTTACCAACTCTCAGTCAGCACTGTACAGACGTAATGAACTTTTTTATGGTAGAATATTGGAGGTCGAATACCTCCAATTCACCTAATGGAATGTAATGATGAAGTCGACGATGGAGCATGCACACCTAAATAATGCCTATTCACCATTGACTTACAATTATATAGACGTCGGGTCCGCGCTAAAAAGTGTCCGAACTTATAGGGCGTTAAAATCGTGTATAGAGCGTCATTCACGCTTTAGTCTTCGTTTGTTCGACTGACAGCGCGCTTGTCAATGATGCCGTATTGTGTAGTAAAACCTTGTAAAAATTACTCAACTAAAGTGAAAAAACAGGATGGTATATTATATTTTCAGTAAGTACTACATTGTGTTATCATAGTTATCATTTAAAAGTGTTATTTTATGCACTAGTATATATAGTATTTAATTTATATTTAAGTTAATCGTAAATATAAATTACAAAACCAATCAAAATAATCAAATAGCTAACTGTCTCTTTCCGACTCATAGCTTGCGTAAAAGACTGAACGAGACCCAACACGTCAATTCCAATTGTTTCAAACACAAGCGTTTAAAATATTTAGAACAAAAATTTCATAGAGTCGCTTTGATGCTAATGTTATTATTAAAATATTTTTTAATACATGTTAGTAATACTTTCAAATATTGTTGTACTCTTTCTACGGCTTGGGGTTACGAATCAGAAGACCGAAAATACATTTGCCCGAAATAACGTTTGCATGAATTTCCATAATCCCAAAAGTATTTGTTTAGGTTTTTTTTAGAATATTACAAAACAAACCTAAGCTAACTTAATCTTTTCTTTGTAATAAGCATCCAGAACTCCCTAAAGCATAACGGTTTTATTATGAATCGGTTTTCAGGATTATGAAAATTTTGCTTTCCCTAATGCGGGGCAATGTTGAGTGTGTGCGTTATTATAATTATTATTATTAATTAGTACCTAAGTGTTAGTGTAAGTATTTTGGAAAGCGTTTCTCTTGCGCAATCAATATCGCGCATTTTAATGTTGTAATTATCTCACAGCGGCAAATACCCTACTACCGTCATAGCCGTACTTTTTCATGCACAAGAAACATTTGCAAGAACTATGAGCAGTACGACTATGCCTGTTGACGGAATCAACCGTCATCAGTGATAAACCGTAATAATTTTATTGAATCAATATACGGCATATAGAAAAGTGGTGACGTTTTTGAGCGCAGTATATGTTTAGTACTATGCACGAACGGGTTAAGAAAATGGTTAGAAAAGAAAAGAAACCAGAGCTGATGCAAGCTTGATAAAAGACCATTATATTAAAGTTTTGGTATGTGATTACATCAATGAGTGAACTGTGCATAGAAAGGAGAGAATACAGGAATTTATCCAGTAAACATAGCTTGAACTTAAGGAGAAAGTGACAAGTATTAACAGAGAACATCTTTCACTGCTAAAATGCATTAAAAATCAAAAGTTGGATGAATGACAAAACATACCAACTTAAGAAACAAAGAAGGTAATTAAAGCCGACTGACACTGCAAATTAAATAGGATTTTTTTTAAAGTTTAAGCAATTTGTAGCTTTCACATGCAAATAATGCATAATAATACAAATAGTACAACCTTGATAGCCTAACGGCTTGCACTGTGGGCGCTGGATGAGAAGTTCCCGGGTTTGATACCAGTAGGATCAATTTAACAAATTAACTTTTCTAAATGGTTCTGGTCTTGGCATTCTATTGTGAGACAATAACCTGGTCTGAGACTAGGGAACTCTCTGTACATACTCCCCATGAGTATCAGAGCAACAGAATCCCAGAGCAGATCCAATTTACCAAAGTTCATTTCCCAAATTCGTTCTACCGGGAATCGAACCTGGGACCAAGAACGATGGAATTTATTTCCGGGCACAACTCAGAACACCCAGGCCAAAACAACTTTCGAAAAGTTCACATTTAGTTTTATAGTTGATTGAGCTGATTTTTTACGGTTTTTAAAAAAAATCTCGAATAACTAAAAAAGTCGGATACGAGAATTCTTGAAACTCAAGAAAAAAATATCAGACACCCTAGCTCGTAATTAATGGCATTGTATAAAATTCAACATTTACAAATAAAATTTATTTATAAATAATAAAGGCTACTCCATTATACCTGTGTTCAAGTACTTTTCACTAGAAGCTACATATGGTGCATTTTGGTAAGTTTCCAGTAGAAGCTAAATATGGTGTTTTTTTGCGCCTTTCAGTTGTTGCAAGCAAAATTAGACAGTACTGCGATGACATTACAATTTAAATTCAACGTTTTAGCTTTTTCATATTCCTTTACATGTCACTACGTTTAAATAGGTTGAATTGGGACATTTTTTTTCGTGGTTTTTGTATTAGACCAATCGTCCATTTATTTGTAAGTCAATGCTATTCACTCTCGCTTTGAAAAGGCCTAAGTTATAGCGTTCAAGGAAAAAGTCTGCAGACAAGGAACTCCATTCCATAGCCGTTTGCCGTAAAAATGTGGAACCATAACGCTTCGTCCGAATCGTTGGAATAACCACAACGTAGGAGTCGAACTCCAGCCTACGTCTAGTCTCGCGATGATAGAAAGATGAAGGCGAAATTGAATTATGCAATTCCATCGCACACTTTCCGTGATATATCCTGTAGCTCGCTTTTACGATGAGTTGCGGTGCTAAGCTATCATCGAAGTGTGATTTGACGTTTAGTATGCTATGAACAATAAACGGGTACTTCATTATGTGCAATTTATATTCTAGAACTAAACAACGAATGCCGAACAATGCTCACAGCGACGAAGCAATGTTTAGAGTCACTGAAGAATGGCACTATCCAAGGTTCCTCGTGCACTGAAGCGAGAGGGTACGTGAAGAGCCTTGCACAAGCAGCAGCGGCAGCGGATAGACTCAATAACGGAACGAGAACCGTCGATGATGAACTATCTGATATGGACAAAGCCATTGAAGAAGCCGCTAAACAGATAGAGGTTTGTCAAAAAAAAGAATTTTTCTTTACTTTATAAACTTAGTACGGGGATTATAATATCTATAATTTTCACGTAAATAAATTTAACCATTTTACTACAGGAAATGCTAGCTGCAAGTAAAGCAGGGGACTCCGGTGTCAAATTGGAAGTAAATGGTAATATCCTTGACGCTTGTACAACACTAATGGGCGCGGTGAAGATATTAGTCCAGGACGCGCGAAAGCTGCAGAACGAACTCGGCGACCCCAAAACGCGACAGAAGATGTACCGGCGCAACCCGCAATGGTCAGAAGGATTAATTTCTGCTGCGAAGGCTGTTGTGTTCGCAGCTAAATTGTTGGTGTGAGTATTTTTTTTTATTGAAGGGAAACAAACAGTCATAAAATAGGTAAGTGATACAAAAATATTGATTAGACCAATTAGAGCTGTAGTTCCACAAACATAAACAAGAATTTAGCAAGTAAGTACAGTTCAACTACATTCAAATACAACAACATAATACACTGGATAATAAAGTAACATCCCGAACATTAGGTACAGTGCACTGTTATACGCCAATTAAATAAAAAAAACAAATGAAATAATTACTTTCTTCTTAAAAGTATGTAACGATAACCAAAAATAATATCTTATTTAAGCTTTTATTATAGAAATCCAAAGAGCGCTTAAAGAAACAATTTTTGGCGTAGTTTGTTCTACTAAATTTGCATGAGAAGGTAGCTTTAGAACGCAGGGATGTGCAAGCTCTTTCAGTAATTTTTTTGTAATAATTCTGGTGAGTCGATGTAGTTATTTAAGGTTTATATAAACACATGAATCAATATAATTTCTTCTATTGCGCAGAGATGGAACCTTGAAAGTATTACAAGAGGATTTATAGTCAATATATTTAGTTGTAGTATAAGCAGAGATGTTTCATTTGTTTTGCACTCTTTCTAATGCATCATTGTGCATATTATAGCTAGGGTTCCAAATTACGCTTCCGAGCTAACACCTAGGTCCCTTGTTTGACTAAGCCGTTTGATAATGGTGCCATTTGAAATATAATTAAAAACTATGGAGTTATTTTTACAAGTGAAGGTAACCAATGGCATTTGGCAAGTAATTAGCAAACTGATGTTAGGATTAACAATCTTTACTAACTTTTCACGAGATAGACAGAAATGTAACTTTGTGTACATTATTAGACGGTACGACGGTTAGCGGCTATGACGAATCCACATTCAAAGTCAAATAATTTTCAATTATTTGAGTTTGAATTTAAGTTTGTTACATAGATAAGTAAATTATTGAAATCGTCATATTGATAAAACTCTACTACTTATGATATATGCCTTTTGTTCTTATACCATGTATTGCTTATACAGGGTAATTTGTGAAATACAAACAATCTCACAGGACTATATTACTAACGTCATAAACAATAACTTTTGATTCATGACTTTTAATAATTAATCAGATTTACTTTCGTACAAAAATAAAAATAGTTAAAGATCGCCCTAAACGGTGATAAATCTGTGCGGTAACAAAAGATAGCGCTAGCACACAAAAGGAGAACGCTTGCACGTTTCAACTTAGTGTCATACTACCACATACAGATCTAAAAAGAGTCAGATAGTACAACGAAAACTTGAAAATTTAGTTATATAAATTTATGTAAATTTATAATGTTTTGTAAAAAGTAATAGAAAAAAGTTGTTGTTCATAATGTTAGTAATATCTGTGGCTCTTAGTGAAAGAACCCAACTTCACAAGGAGACGCGAGAAACAGTGAAGCTTAATATGATATTAACCGTGAAGTGTTTTTCATGTTTGAAAAGTTGGGTTTTTACTTGTACCCCTTTTCACTAGAGCCACAGATATATTCCTGTCAGGTTGATAGTATTTTTCCATAGAGTATATAACCAGAAATAGAGACGAAATACATTCCGACGAAATACATTCCTGGTAACTCATCAGTCACTTATAAATATTAACTCTCGTTTGCACGAAATTACAAATTAGAAAGCTGAAATAGTACAGCGCCAACAATTGACCTGTGTGTACGGGCCGGGAGAAATATTTGTACGGCCTAAATTTATTTCTCTCGTGAGTTTGTAATTTGTCGTTGTCCATTGCACCCGCGACACAGGGTTTCTCTAGTACGGGGCTATGAGTGTGTACGCGTTATTATTATAACTGCTGTGCTGTGCTGTTCCATTCGGTGGTGTGGAGGAAAAACAGCAAAACATCTAATTGCAAAACAAACGGAATCAAATTTCATCGGTAATTAAATATGTAATTTTGCAATTTTCGTCCATTATAGCAAAGCTCAAGTTAACTGGACGATTTGAAATGAAACAATTGACGACACCCGTTAAATGTTTTTAATTCGGGCTGACCAATCCGAGCGCAGTGGTCACAGTCATGATATGGAAGAATAGTTTTCAAACAAATTAAATGATATTTCGTCTTTATTTCTGGTTATGGACTCGAAGTATTTTATAAATAAAATCAGTGTTTATATCGTTTGAAATTATATCAAATGTTGTTATACCAAGTGAAAATTATTTCTTGTTATATCTTTCACTCCACACCCCCTATTCATACAGATCGTCAGCCGATGAAGCAGTAGGCGCAACGGGTCGTGTAGAAGGCGTATCTGCGGCTGCGCACGAGGTAGCGGGCAGTACTGCGCAGCTTGTAGCTGCGTCTCGCGCGAGAGCCCCGCCGTCCTCGCCTGCGTTGGCACAGTTGACGCAGGCTTCGAGATCCGTCGCTGCTGCCACTGGAGCTGTCGTTGCTGCTGTTAGAGCCGGCTCAGCGTTGGTCAACGAACAAGGTGAGAATTATTATTGTATTATATATTTTTTCACTTTTTGGAAATTGGAAGCATTTAGCTTACGAATTTTGAGGATCCTAATTCAGCTAACGTGCAGTTTTAGACTAAAAATTCGCATGTCTCTAGTATAGTGATTAATTTTGAAAAGAATGTTTATTTTTTGTGTATGTGTATCTTTTGCATGCTTTTGCTTATCTGTATCGGGATTTTCCGACGTAGTATTACGTAAGTACAATTGTCTTGTGTGGTTGTACTAATTTTGTCTCTAAATTAAGCTAGTGGTTATGTACCAAATAGAGATGTGTGACGATGGCTTATCAATCGGCTACGGCAGCGTAATTGGCGTGGCGTATATTTTTTTGATGTTAAAACAACACTAAAACAGACACTGTAATTTATCATAATTGTGCGGAAATATATGTATACCATATTAAAAAAAAGAAGCTGATATTTCATTAAATAAAATAAATTTTCGTCACGCTGATTTTTCGCCGATCAAGTTCATCGCTGACGGCAAAGACGCGAGAAAAAATTTCCCGTAACAATATAAATCATATAATAATACTGATTGCCGATTTTGTAGAGGCTTATAATACATAATATTCAAGTATGAGTTTATCACTTACATGAAATATTGCAATGAACGCTTATGATATGTAAAAGTAAGCCAGTTGATAAGATAGTCTAGTGTTCCGACGAACATAATTTAAATGGCCTGGTGTTTACAAACAGAGGCGCTAGATACGTCAGCGCTGACGCTGACAGCGACGCGCCGATTGGAGATGGAGAGCAAAGTTCGGTCACTAGAGTTGGAAGTGGCGCTGGACGCGGAGCGCGCTCGGCTCGCCGCGCTGCGCAAGCGGCATTATCAACTCGCGCAAATGGAGGAGGTAAACTAAACCACTGTTACCTAACAGGGAGAGTAGAAACGAAACTATTTTCCGGATTTAAATCGCGTGTATTTGTGTTTTCAAACAAACAAATATACGCGGTTTAAATCCGGAAAAATAGTTTCTTTTCCTATCTGTAACAACAACGAAAACCTAAGAACTCCATAGGGAGAGTAGAAATCAACTGACCAGATGCTTACAAAAACGTGGTAAAAAACGTTATAAACTTCGTAATATAAAGAAAAGAAAAAATAATTATTGGATCACATTTCCTCATAACAAATATAAGTTTAATAACATTGGGATCCAAAACGGTCTCCACCCAGCATTTGCCGGGTTGTGCATGCAAAACAACCTGACGCGATATTCAGTTTAAAAGAACATGAAAATTCACCTGACTATTGGTGAATTTTATACACAGGGTATTGTTATACACTCTCGAGTGTATTACAATACTCTAGTCAGGAGTTTACAATAAATAATTTTAAACGTCATGCTAATTACTTATTAATTGTTACAGAATGGCAATTTGACCAACGGGAAATAATCTACGTCAAGCATAATAGAATTATCGATCAAAATGTTAGATGTTATAAACTTAATTGTTATATACTATTTTGTCAACATAATTATAACGCAAAGACACTACAGTTAAGATTTTCGGCGAAAGTTACCCTCTAAATTGTGTATCACACTCGAACATTTTGTTATAATTTATAGTAACGAATCATTCTAAAGCACGCATTTATTTTTAAAGCGTTACGCTTCAAACAACGAATATATATTGATTTTCAATTTTAATAAACTTGATGTAAGGTCAGTGTGGATTTTTACAATGTGTAACAGAATACGTCTTCTGTCTGTGAAGGCTCAATTTAGAGACATACACCATAATATTTAATTCGCAGGTAAAAGTAAATTATCGTTGATTTTGAAGGGCTTACATTGTAATTATACTTAGGGAACATCTACTGCATGCTTTTTATTAAATATTTAGTTTAATACAAAATCGTTGGGTGCAAGAATCTGTTGTCCTTGAAATCTTCCTTTAAGGTACTTTTACCTGCTTGTTGGCATCCATTCAACATGATCACAATTTTAATATTCTAACATCATATTGTAACACGAAGATTGGCTAGCACTATGTCGCATAACCTCATTCCTCTACACACATACACAATACTGCGGGAAGCGTTTATGCGACAACGGTCTATGTAAATTAATTTGTGCGTGTTTCTAAATCGGAACTAATGTACGTTTCCCTTTTAACAGAAAGTACTAAGTAACATTTAGGAAGTGTTGATCACTTCCTAAATGTTACTTAGAAGATGATAAAAGGAAATAGTTAAAAAAATAGTTAGTAGTATTCGATGTTCTAAATATATTCTAAATTACTTATATATATTTAATGTAAAGGTCAGTGTTTAGAGGATATCAATAGTAATTTGTCCGTAAATTGCGTTTTGAAATGTGTGTTTAGAAATTTATAGTCGTACGTATTGTTAAGATGAAAAAATGATATGTGAACACAGGTCAATCATAAAACACTAACTGTTTTAATTTGTAAAACACAATTGAGTTCATTGTATTTTGCAGATTGAAATATAAAAAAATCTCCTATATTATGACAACTTTCTCATAATATATTTCATTTTGCAAATTTTCACGCAATTGGGCGAGGTTAGTGGACTCCAAACCAATGTCGAAGTTAATTATTATATTTATCTCCGGCCGTTGCTGTGTTCCCTTGTCAAAATTATATTGAACTAAGAATGACATAAAAGCATTGATAGCTTTAATAAATGTGAGACTAAAGTGAAAAATGGTGAATTATCGATATACCTTTATGTATAGAAATATATAATGATAAATGTAAACCCTAGACATTGTTACATCATTTTATATGATTTACAGTAGGGCTGCCAACAGACAACGAACATTCCGATGTGAGAATGTCAGTAATCCCTTGTTAATAACGGTAGTGAATGGGACTTAACACCGACACGTCGTATTCAGTCTTCGGTACCTCAACCTACAGTGATAGTTGTCGCGTAAAATATTTGACACTTTAGGAAAAAAGGGCGTAAAGTCTCATTACATTAAAAATGAGTTGTCGATGTAGTTGGTTTAAATGTTCGTCCTTTTATGAGCTGTCTACTGAAACTTTTGTATTCCGCCAAAAATGTAGATAAATGTATACATGTATTATACATATGTATATATTGTTGTTTGCTATATATATTAAATTAAGTTTTAAATAATAAAAGATATCCCAAATGTTGATAAGTTTTTGTTTTAGCGTCGTAAATTTTGTTGTTAGCCTTTACGCCCCTTCTAAAAGTAACATTTTGTATACAAATGTAGAAGCACCATTATTCCCACTATTTCAGTTGTGTTGACAAAACTACTGGTATTTTTTTCCTATTTGTTCTGTTAATAAATAGACAGTTTTCTTCACAGACCTACTGAGAATTTTCTATCTTGTTCTTAGAAGCACGAAGATACGATAGAGTCTGGTCTCACTCACTGGTATCGATCAACTATGCGAAGTTAATAATGCCCTTAATTTTAGATATTTTTTGGTGTGTAGATCTCTTTTGAAGAGAATTTTTATCACAATTGGTAACAAATTTACTGTGGAAAAATAATCTGTCTGTAGGTAGCCCTAATTATAATTCTAAGGAAAATAAATTATTTTGCCAGATTTGTAATTATTGTAAGCATCACATGCGTGTTTATTATTATGCTTATGCTCTTCATAAGCATGAGCCATTGTGATTTTTGTATACTTATCCTTTTGGATTTAAATTAACCTAGTTGGGTATGTTTCATTTGTAATGTTTTTCACGTGTTATTTAGGGTTATTAATAAAATATGTACACTTATCAATTGATTCTCATTAATAACAAATTTCCTCTTCCAACATACCATTATTAGGTAACCAAGTAATGAGTATAGACTCGACATTGTGTATATCATATATATTTATTTTTCATGAGATTAGTCCTGTGCATATTGTTATCTTGAAAAGTTATGTAACGATAAACTCGTGTAACCAGATAAAAAAAGGGCTTTGAATGAGTAATATATATAATAATAGGGGTTAAAGTATGAAATTGCCGATTTGTACTGAAAATCTAAATTGTTTATTTTTTAAATTTTTAACTAATTTTTTTAATCAAAATAGTTGCCATTATTATCTATACATTGCTGCCATCTAATGGGAAGGTTATTAATGCCTTTGCGATAGAACTCCGACGATCTAGACTGCACAAACTGTGTGAAAGCATTTTGTACTGCCTCCTGGGAAGAAAACTTCTTGTCACGTAGATAATTGTGCAAATCACGAAAAAAATGGTAGTCCGTTGGAGCAAGGTCTGGTGAATACGGAGGATGACGAATGGTTTCTAACTGCAGTTCCTGAAGGGTCAAAATGGTTTCTCGTGCTGTGTGAGGTCTCGCGTTGTCGTGGAGCAATAATGGTGAAGATCGATTCATGAGTCGGGGCTGTTTTACTGCTAGTTTTGTCAACATGGTTCGGAGTTCGGCACAATAGACATCTGCCGTTATTGCTTGACCAGATCGGAGAAAACTATAGTGAATAACACCATGCTGAGACCACCAAACAGTTACCATTACCTTTTTATTCGTAAGTTTTGCTTTAGGACATTGTTGTGGCATTTGACCTGGGGTCAGCCATTGCATTTTTCTTTTCCGGTTATCATAAAGAATCCACTTTTCATCACATGTTACAATTCGATCCAATATTCCTTCATTTCTGTACCGGTTCAACAAGGCAACACAAGTTTCAACACGCGTTTCTTTCTGCAGATCAGTCAAATCATGAGGCACCCATTTTTCGTATTTTTTTATTTTATTGATTTGACGCAAGTGAGTCAATATTGTGGGTAAGGTAACGTTAAACCATGCCGCTAATTCCTGGGTAGTTTGACTAGGATCGGCTTCCACTATCTCTCTTAATTCATCGTTATTCACCTGTGTGGGCGGTCTTCCTCGTGGCTCGTTCTTTAAGTCGAAATTTCCATCACGAACGCGTTTAAACCAAAATCGCACGGTGCGTTCATTAGTAGACCCCTCTCCAAACGCAGCATTGATATTGCGGGCTGTTTCTGCCGCGTTAGTTCCGCGTCGGAACTCGTATTCAAAAATCACTCGAATTTTCGCAGTATCCATCTTTCTTGTCTAAATTGAATAACAAAAACAATTGAAAGTCGATATTCAAATGTTTCAAATTTAAAAAAAAAATAAAATCACAGAAACCATTTGAAAAAAGTTTCATTCGAAAACCTCAAACCATGAAGATTCTATGAAAATTCAAAGAACCTATTGCAATAAAACGGCAATTTCATACTTTAACCCCTAATATAATAACGTAATAATAATATAATAACGTGACAATTATCGCAAGTGATGAAATAATATTTTTCTGTTGGAGTTATGTTGATAATATAAATGTTGGTTTTAGGAGCGTGCCTTATTCCAGCGTGACTGTGATCGAGAAAATTATTAGATGTTTTCTAATAGAGATATTATTAAATAGAGTCAGAATTTGAATTAGGTAAAGAGTCGCCATTTTGTCGGTTCTAGTCACAAAAACTAGATTGAGTCGGTCCGCCGTAGGGTATTTTACTGTCCACGCTGGAATAAGTTTATTTCAGTGGCGCTATTCCTCAATCTCGAGAACTACAGCATTTAGTTTAAATCTGAAAGGAGCAAATTAGCCCTTCAACGGTAAAAGCTTTCCTCTTACAACTGAAAAGTTGTTTCAAATCAAAAGATAAATATTGGTGTGTTTATTATATTATGGGCATGTAATTTTAATAAAGGGTTAAATAATTGAGTCTGAATCGTTAAGGATAAATAAAACGTACAAAATGCTTACACATACATTATATATTCCATATATTCGCTGTTACGTCCTAATACTACAGTAGTGGACACAAAAAAAGCATGGCAACATAATACATTACATTTCAAATAACAGTAAATACAATTTGCATCTTGTATAAAACATTCTTTTCTTTATAAGCAAATACGTAATTAAATTGTTCAATTAAAATGCTTACTAGAGGAATGCATTCTAAGGAAACTAACTAAAAAACACTTAAATCTAAAACTAAAGGAAAAACGTTTGTTGTTCACCACAATAAGTGGTAGGTACTAATTTGTGCAAATTACCTTTATAACTGTTCTTGGCTTACCCCGATGGAAAAAATTAAAAAACTACAAATCTACTGTATTCTCTTTTCAGAAAAATTTATGAAACTGTTTTGTTACAGATTTAATGTTTGGTAAACTAAAAATAACTAACAAAATTTCTAGTGATTGCCTTTTAAAAAGTGAAACTACACTACTAAATACGTACACATAATAGACATAAAAATTAGGCCAAGTCGATGTATTTCTAGGCTATAAGATACTGCAAGAAGCCAAATATTCATTCATTGTATCAGCTAATTGGTATGAAAATCCTAATACGATGTTAAAAACCTTCGAAAATTTTGTTAGCACCACATGTTGGCTTCTCACTATTTTAATAATACTGAATTTACATTATTACTTAGGTAGATCTTTAATGCTTAAGAACAAATTAATGAGCAGCACACTACCTCTAGTTATATCTTTGATATTTCAAAAGCAGAGGTCAGGTTATTGTTAAATTTTGTTATTGTTCTATAATTAGAATTTGATTGATTGATGTAATCATCACCCCCAGTAATAGTAAAATACTATAGATATTAAAACAACTTCTTTATGGAGTGGTTAAAAATACAAAATAAGTATTAAAGGGTTATATTAAATTGTGGCAGAGATTTCACTGGCAAATTAAGTAAATTAGGTAATGTTTTAATTAGAATGTTAAACAGGGGGTTCATCCCACTTAAGATGCTTCTCAGGAGTCAGATGGATTATCCTGACATGGACTGCTTGGTTCTTCTCAAATTTTGGTGGGATTGGGCAAAGTCTGTATATGACTTCATCACCTGACAACGGGACAAACTCTCCTTCAATGCTGTGAACAATTAGTGAAATAAAAATTACATTGGGACACCAATTAATTGTTACAAAATAAACTTTACAGAATAGATACAACAATTTTATATTGTTACCAAAGAGAACATTAGCATTACAGATGGGCAATAAGTAAACTTCAACACTAGGTATAAAAAAAACCCAGTTGAATGTGATTAAATAAGAACTCGATATATGAATAAATCATTATCTCACTAAAAGAAAAAAAATTATATTAAAGTAAACAATGAACATATTCAGTGGAGGTTAATTTTAGTAATTAAACATGACATCATACCAACTGTGTTGTTAGGAATAAAAAGTTAGTTAGATTGTATGATATTGGCCGCATGACTCAGAGGTTATTTACCATTGGATAAGATATAAGTGAAGATTTAAATACATATAGCTGCAACTTAATACGAATAAATAGGTAGGTATTTTGAAAAAAGGTGGTTCGTATGTGTACTTACTCTGAAATATGAACGAAAATATCTTCTCCACCTTTTTCAGGGGTCACAAAACCATGACCTCTTTCCCGGCAAAATGATTTGATTTTGCCGCTCTCCAAAGGATTTCCTAATGCCCTTTCCGAACTACAATCAAGAAAATTTAATATAGTAAAAATTACATGTAAAAGAACATTCGTATTTTCAATATGATCAGATTTATTTGAGAAAAATTCAATTAACTTACGTCGACGCGGTCCGATTTCGACGTGTGATAATAGGACTCGGAAGTTGTAAATGTGTGTTAGTTTTATTAGGCGAATCATCGCTATTAAAGCCAATGTCGTTGGACATGATTAAGTACAAAGTTATTTACAGAAAGAGTGTTTTGCGGAGTAAAATTTAACAAGATCTCTCACGTATCAAGCAACGCAAAATCCACAAACTGAAATGTCAGAAAATAGGTTTGGATAACAAATATCGATATATCAAAAAATCGATATTTTTTCATGAAATAATCGCGATGTCTATCGTCGATATTTTTGATATATCAAAAACCGATATTTCTTTCGAGTACCAATTTAGATATTTCTTCCCAAGAATGAATATTTAAAAATAATACCAACGTACATTTGCGGAATGAAATTAACACAAATTCTAAAACATACCTTTTGCTAACAATTGGTTGTTTTTGCAGAGCCTCATAGCCCATTTAATATGGTGGTTACTTCCTTTCTTTCCACATTTTTGCAGCAGACGACCACGACCGTACTTTTTATCAGGCCTTTCTTAAATAACTTTTTTTATAACTTCAACATATGTCTTAATTTTCCAAATTTTATTTAGTAGTCCAGTTACGTTTATTAGATGTGTTTTGGGAATATTTATAAGTTACTACTGACTTTGGGACAAACGAAATATCCATATATTACTTTCGATAAATATTGATACTCCTTGTAAATATCGAATTGATATATGCAACGAATATATTTTTTCAATTTTCATCTCTATCAGAAAACAAATGTCAATTATTTGACTGTGACAACATAGACTATAGAGCTATAGTGATGTAGTCACTGAGTTGGATTGTTCTAGAAATTCATTCACGAAAGTCGAAACGTGCTCGAAAGTCGAAACTCGGTAAACAGAAACGTCGACATTAATAGGTGTCCATGAAATAATTTTAAATCACCCAGAACTCGACTCAATGCTTAAGTTAGGACATGAGTATGAGTTAAAGCACTAGAAATCATACTTAAATCCTTGCCATTAGGGTTGTATTTCCAGTGCTTAAATCATACTGAAGTCCTGACCTGAGCATTGAGTAGAGTTCTGGAATACGACCCAAGACTCATGATTTACAGAACAGTGAACTGATAGTGATTATTGGTTGATCATTATGAAAGCTTTAGACGGCGTCGTAGCATAAAGTTGTTTTGGATATTTTTTATACAATGGAACACAATAGTCATACCATGTCACATACTAACAAGCTGACAATATATATTAAGGGTACATTGCTATAGCCGGCTCTATAAAACGGATTACTAAAGATTAGATTTTGAAAAGGAGCAATGTTATCCTAGTAATTCTAGAATTTAAAAAAAATTAAATATTTAAGTCAACAGCACGTTGGATACACTTTGGACAGACTTATCGTAACTTGTATTTAAATCTTAAATGTAAAGGGAAATGTACAAAAGCTGCAAAATAATTGTCTGTCCTGAGAATAGATTAGGGCCGGCCCTGTGTGAGTGTTTATTTAGGTCATAATCAATCCCGAACAAGCACTAAAATCAATATAACAATTCCATACAATAAAAAATCTGCCTTGATATTGTTGTGCCCCCTTCGGTACCATATGTCCCATATCTTCTACGGTTTTTCATGGTTTGAGGATTACTGAAAAATCACATGTTGTTTCGTAAATATATGTTATTTCATAAATAATTTTTGTTACGTAGAGTATTTGCTACATTACATTACTTTGCTACATATTAATAATAATAATAGCCGGCAATTTATCTTTATCTACGAAACCGAAATCTAGAATTAAGCGTCAATGTTCTAATATCACATTTAATTTAACAATTTTATCCAATAACTCTAAAGAGGGAATCTCGATATGACGATAAATAGGAGATACATACAATACTTTGAAATTTAGAACATACTTAGAAGTTATTTAGTAAAGTGTTATATATTAATTTTAATTCAACTATTAAATCTAAAAATAAAAGTAACTTCTAACATTCGAACGAGTGAGATCATTTTTATCTTCGGGTGCGTAAACAATGGGGCAATGTGGTACTTCAGGTGATATCGGCAGCATAGTTGGTATTAGCAATCCTTCCCATGCACCCTGTAATATTTAAAAAAATCATCATGTTTTAAAGTTGCAGTGCATTGAATATAAAGACGGATACTCACTAGCGAGCTGTAACCGTAACAGTTGCATGTTATGGCGGATTTATACCAGGTCGTAGGTCGGCAGATTACTTCGCCTGCCGAAGGCGACACAACCGACTCGCTATTTACTTCGAGTCGTCTGCTGCCTTCGGTAGACTACTTCGCATTGCCGAAGGCGTCGCACCCAGTCACATCGGTCGACTTCGACTGCAAACTACCGTTGTCAGACGAGTCACTATTTATATTGGCGAGCTCGCCTGACGAATTGGTGTAAATGAGCCATTATCTTACCAAAAATCATAGTGTGTATCTACGATATTCGCGCGCGCACCGTGTGCGATTCGCAGTAAGCCGACCACATTTCTGTGGAGCCGACGATAACCAGGTACTCATTCTAGCGAGTGAAGGCTGTTTCACGCGTATACACTAGAACCTCGTTACCGTATCTGTCACGTTACAGTTCAACTCGGTAATGAGTACCCGGCTTAAGATGTTAAATTTTAAGTTGATGATATAATTTACCTGAAATCTGGTTCCGTCAGACTTATTGCATTGCATGGATAAAGTTGAGGTCACATAAAGTTCGTGTAGAGCTGCAACTCTGAGTTCTGTCCAAGGCCTAATGGCCAAGTAATTATTCCGAGGAGAATTGCTATCGAGTATTGGCATACCGTCCCAACTGAAATGAGATTTGTATGAATAAGTATCTGCAGTGTAGGTATGAGAAAAATGTGCGGTATTAGTGTTAAAGACAGAATGCCAAACAATGTATAGTAAGAGGGCGTTGTGGTATGAAAGATGATGTAGTGATCAGGATAGAGAGGGGATGCTTCGATGGTTTGTTCATGTAGAAAAAATGAATGTTGGTAGGCTGACAACACAAATTTATAGAGCGAATGTGGAAGTCCATATTCTCTGCCTACCCCAGTGGGAGACAGGCGTGATGACATGTATGTAGATAACTAACTCGCGTACTTAATGAAAGGACATTTTATTTGAATTCTGCATTCAATACGCACTCTCTTTCGAAGTTAAAATAGTTCTTCAGAGCCTTGTTAGATATTGCGCTTTTGCAAACTTCGAGATCGGTCGCAGGGTAGTAATGTATGTAGTTGACACACATCTCGTCGCTGATTGCGTGGCCACCCACCGTGACGTTGTCTCTGTTTTCTGTGTTATAAGCACATGTAGTTTCCAAAAAATCTCCCTTGAAAGAAAAGAAACAAATTTTACGTTACAATAGGTTACGAGCCTATTCACTGTCTTACAAAAAAAAGTAAATAAAACGAAATCGGCGAATATGCGTGAAAATCTATTACCGGCATAACCCTTACGGGTCTATGTAGGATGCGAATTTCTTGAAAGTGCGTTGAGTAATGCATGTCGCTATTTAGAGCTCGTTTTTCCATTCCATTTCGTGAATGTCGAGTCCATACAGCCGTTCCAGTTAAATGTGTATGAAGCTGACTGCCGAAAACGACAATACCTTCTCTTGGTAAGCCCTAAAAACATAAACGATTTTTTTTATACGAAAAAAGGATTTACTTAGCTTCTTTTTACAGATTTTACCCACGCCACGCGATCACCCTTCGATATCTCCAATGAACACTACGTCAACTTAATTTTTGTTCATTTTCTGTTTTTCGTATATACAAAATGAATGTCGCCTAAGTTTAAGCTCAAAATCTGATGTAATTTCTTGCCACACGGGCGCTGCCGGTGCATTGCGTCGTCGCAACGCTATGAATTTCAACCTTAGACTAGATTTTTTCCATCCTCTAAGATTTTAACGCACCAAGTGCCACACTAATGGTCGTATTCCAGAACTTTACTCAATGCTCAAATCAGGGCTTGAGTATGATTTCAAGCACTGGAAATACGACCCTAATGGCAAGGACTTGAGTATGATTTCTAGTGCTTTAAATCATACTCAAGTCCTGACTTGAGCATTGAGTAGAGTTCTGGAATACGACCCTAAGGACGAACAGAATGTCACAATGAATGACGTAACGTTAACGCTGCGTACTTACGCCTTCAAATTCAAGGCGAATGCAAGGGAGCCTTAAAATTAGACGCTTATAGAAGCGTTACAGTGGCGCCATTATTAATTTATACAATATTTCGATGCATCACACGAACATTGTTGTAAGTCAAAATACAGTCGTTTGCTTTTTAACTTGAACATTTATCCTTTTTTATGCATACCTATCATAGGTTCCTGTATTAAAGTAAACATAATACTAAGTGATTTCTTTACGTTTAAATATGGAAGCTATAATATACACAAAAAAGGATATATTATTTAATTCTAAAAGCAAAATATGGTAATTTGATTTACAACAATTTATTTGGGAGGTATCGATTTAGAAGCGCAGTTGCAGCGCCACAATCGTGACACGCAGTCACTCACACTCAATCATCACTTTTGCAGTCACAATTATGAGCTAAAAATTATTGAAGCGGAGCAATCGCGCCACTGCAGCGCTTCTACAGGCGTCTAATTTGAAGGAGCTCTTAGTCGAAGTCAAATTTCGTTTCATTGCTTTCAGCCTGAGTAACCAGTCAGTACCGATATAGTAAAACGATTGCTGTAGAATTGTACTACGACAAATCAAAGGCATGCTGATAAAAGTACTTACAACAGCCGTACACTCTGGGGTACAATATCCTGTTAATGTAAATTGTTTTTGTCCAGGTGGTATAGCCATTTTGTCAGTGTATTCTAATCCAAGTTCCATTATAGCAGCGTCAAATTTACGTCTCTTAGAGGTTACGTAAAACGTTAAACCTGAGCTGTCGACCCAATCTGAAAGGTACAATCGCTTAATATTTCGTATGCTGTTTATACGCCTTTATCGTTGAGTCAATAGAATAAATTTAGTGAACGCACTATATTAGTCGTATTAATGGTGTTGATGACACTAGAATTGAACCTGTGTACGGTTTACAACCGCACATTTTAGTTTAGCTTACTTTGCGCTCTATTTTCCGCGGCCGTATGTTTACCTGTGCGCATAAGTAGGCAATTAAATTTGTGTTTAACAAACATTCAGTCAATTTAAATATTTAACAACTTAACAACAACGTACGAGATACACAGCCACATCTAGCTTGTATCCTTACCAATAAACTTTTTACATACTTATCTATTTGACCAATCAAGAATCAATACTGTAGCGTATCCCCTACAAACTGATAAGATAATTCTTTATTTTTACCTTCAAGCTCCTCAGGATTGTTGTAATGCACTTCTAACATTACATAACTGTTAGCATTGGGTCCACCCAGGGGTAAACCAGCCGCAGCGGGGTATATAAAAGGAGGTGCACCCATTGCCCAAGCTGCCTTCACCTTGAACGGTCAAAAGCAGTTTAAAAGTTATGCAGTTTTTAATAGAAATGAAACATTTTTTTCGGATCTAAACTCATAATCATAGCTGACTGAAACGTTGGTTTGTTTAAAAAAAATACGCGATTTAGACCCAAAAATATATTTTTAATTTTTTATGTGTAACAATCGTGAAAACCAAGACCTCGACATGAATAAGTATAAGAACTACTTATAGCGTTATCGCCGCGATACACGTGACTTTAAAAATACAATACAATATTATAAACTTGAAAGTACAATACAATGCAACAAATATGTAAACAGAAAAGTAATTTGCATACAAATGCACGAGTTAAATTCACAATAGTAAAAATTAAAGGCGTTAAAATAAAACACACACATACAACTGACTTACTCAGCTTTTAGCTGCGGGCAGAAAAATCCGACATATACCGTAGCGCTGGCACAGGCACATGGGACTTGGGAACTTATGAATCAGGGTGTCGGGCGCAATGACAGTGCCACTTATATTTTTGAGATTTAATGCTCTGAGTGGCACTGTTAGGAACAGGCGCGTCGCTTAGCACCATGCACACGATTTGTTCGTCCCGTCACTTATTATTATAAAAAAAGTACAGTTTTCCTTACGATTTCGAAATCAGCGAATGTAATATAAATTAATTTGGCTTTTTCATGTGTAACGTAGATAGATATCCGTTAGGGGTTAAAATTGCCTAGATTAGGTACTTTAGTTGTTTTTTGTGTTTTTTAGCTTCAGGTAAATATTGCCTACTTAAAAGACGAATTGGTTATATACTATATTGAATGTAGGAACGTACGTTAGAAAAAAAAAAAACAAATTTCCGTTCTTACCTTAGAACATACTTTCGTGCTTTCTGGTCTATCAGGAGCGAAGCAATTACCTTCATATAATGGTATTTCTACGTCAGGATCTGTGTCACAGTAGAATAGTTCCATGTGATGCACTAAGCCTTCATTGCCTTTTGTGATGCTAGACTGGAACTAGAAAAATGCATTATTTATTTAGATACATAACTCGGTAAAGTAGCTTGGGTGGGTGTAAAGGTCAAACCACGAAGTTTATAAGACGAGTGAAAATCAAAAAATTTATAAATGTTTAGATTCATTCCTTTTTTATTTTTATTACCATGTTAACGTAAACAGTCCATTTTGGTGAGCTTTTGATAGGCTGATCGATGGAATCAAAATTTAACATCTAATTCATCTATTTTTTTTTTATATAATAGGTGTTTACGTAACGGGCAAAAGATAGAGACCAATTACATATTATATTGCATTTAGTTAGGATTGATACCACTAAGAAGCGACACAAATATTTAGAACAAAAATTCCATATAGTCGCTTTGATGTTAATCTTATTTTTCAAAGATTTTTTTATTAAATCTTAGTAATAATTAACAAAATATTTTTGTTTCTTTTCTTTGCAATGCCCATCCAAAATACCTTAGAAGAGACCGTGTAAAGGACGCAAAACGTTGGTTAGTTTGAAAAAACAGATATGCGGGATTTAGATCCGAGCAAAAAAATATTTCATTTCATCTACCCTGAAAGTATAACGGCTTCATTGTAAATCGGTTTTTCAGGATTATGAAAATTTAGGTTTACGTTAAAAATTCGGTTTTGTTCTTCACTCTGTTGCTTCACGATGGTCTAGAATTTATCGCTTCTCGACAAACTACTATCGCCTTTCCAAATTTAATCAAGCTTCTTTAGCTGCTTTATCGTGAAATACACAGTTATTTTTACGTTATTAGAGAACATCACATTAGACAACGTTACATACGTTGCTCTGATCCCAAAGTAAGTAGCTAAAGCACTTGTGTTATGGAAATCGGGAACAACGACGGTACCACAAACACCCAGACCCGAGACAATATAGAAAAGTGAGTTTCTACACTAACCCGCCTGGGGATCGAACCCGGGAGCTCAGAGATGGCGACATACACCACGAAAACCGGTGTGCAAGCCACTCGACCACAGAGGCCGTTATAATATTTGTACGGATATATTATCTACACAAACCTTTATTATTTCTTTAAGTGAATTTGTACAGAATTGTACATAATATTGTACAATAAACAAATTAGCTACTCCGTTATACTTCTGTGGAAATAATTTTCACTAGAACCAGAATATAGTGAATTTTTAAATTGTTGGCCTTTAAATTGTTGCCAGCAAAATTACGCAGTACAGCAACGACGTTACAATTTAAATTAAATGTTTTTACAGTTTTTTTATATATCATTACATGTAACTAGGTTTATGTAGGTTAACTCGGGATATATTTTTCTTGGTAGGTCAAAGTAAATACTACAGGGAAGTTATGTAAAAAATAAGTTATTTCTTACCTGTGTAATATGATGAGTTACTTGTGTGATACTACTCGGTAATCGGACGACTTTGCACCAATACGTTGTATCTGTTCCTGGCACTGATAGATTGTCAACTGCAATCGATAATTTCTGTCCATATTGCTTGGGCAAACCGGGAACAGTCAACAACCGTACTCTAATAAAACCGTTGTTTTGAGGACTTGTACATGGTAAGCACAATCCTCTGGCACTAAACAACTTATCTGAACCATGAGCCCAGATAACGTGAACCGTTTCATCCTAAAAGGAACCAAAAGTTACGGTAACAGAAACTTGAATAAAACAGAGTAGCGCGGTCCAGGGCCGCCGGGTCGCAGAGCCCGTTTTGTCTTTTTACTTGAATAAAAAGTGTACTTACTTTGATAACAAAATCATCGACGTCACAAGTATCGAATTTTCTATCGAAACTAACAACTCTGTTCTTCGAATCGAAAGAAAAATTTTTGCAATCTTGACTTAAGGTATCACGTACGAGATTTCCGTGACTATCTGTATGCATGTCCTGAAATTATAATTTATTACAGAACTAATAGAAGAATAATTTATTAACTAAACCGCTATTGCTTATAAAAAAACAACATGTGTATTAAATTCTCGTGGTAGCCTAATGGTTTGACCTACTGCCTTTCAAGCAGAGGCAGTGGATTCGAATTGGCACTCATACCTCTGAGTTTTCGTAATTTATGTGCGAAACTTAATTTGACATTTGCCATGAGCTTGTCAATGAAGGAAAACATCGCGATAAACACTACAAATCGAAGAAGGTTCACAATCCTCGGAAAACGAATGAAGTCCCCGATCTGCATTCGGCCAGGGTGGCGGACTATGGCCTAAACCCTCGCCCGAGAGGAGATCCGTGCCCAGCAGTGAAACTATATACACTACTTTTGATATAATGGACATTTAATGAAATTAAATTTTCGCAAAGTTTATGAAATAGAGAACTATACTTTAGGAATATAACAATTCGAAAGTACCTACTTATTTCGTGTTCACGTCCATTTGCACTAGACTTAAGTACAAATCAATGCTTGCAATGCAAAGTCACTCTTAATACAATGTGTTTTATCAATTTAAGCATCGGTTTAAGATGTATCAAGTTTAGTGCATCTGAACATCAACCGCTACTCACTGTTATGTGTTGTACGCCTTGGTAATCAACCCACACTGTGCAAACATCAGAGTTGTTAAGACTGCCCCTATCAGAAAATCCTAATGAAAACCATGTGAACCGCGGCGCTTCTTTTGCAATTGTCACTGTGAATCGAATCTTTTTAATCGAATAATCAACTCTCCATTTGAGCACAAATTCACCACTTGGGTTTAACGTTGCTTCGCTTTCCGCTATTTTGTTATCTGTACAAAATCAAGAAATATTAAAATTAAACATAAAATTAACTCGTTAAAATTGACAGTTTAAATATGTAAATGTTTAAATAAAAATAATAAAATTATAGCACTTACCAAATGCAGTTACGAATGCAAGGGAAGAATTTATAATAATAAATGAAAATACTATCAATATTGCCCATATTGTACGCATGGCAGCTGAAAAATTTACGGATGTATTATTTTAAAGAAATAATTATAAATAATTTACAGTAAATAAGCAGGTGTGAACTGGTTTCTTCGGTGGTTGAAGCGGTAATGAATAGATGCCTCCACGGTGACGCCATTATACTTCGTTTATCGAAATAAAATTCCTCCCCCGCCTGGGGGGGCTTGGGAATGCGGCTACCCGCACTAGTCGTACAGTCGTGTTAAAAAGGTCTTCCTTAGTATTTAGTTTCATTTTGTAGACCGTGGTCGATCGTTTTTGTAGTCCACTACAGCCACCTACTATGATTCAGATACCACATAGAAACATTTGTGTGCTAAATATCGTTTCACACAATCAATAACTTAAGAAAAATAAGTTTTTAATAAAGCTCAATTTAAATTGCTGCGCAACAGATCTCGCGTCTTCCGGCAAATTCTCGAGCAGTCTCGGAAATTAGGGTCGCTACCGCAGCGCATCTAGGCAAATTACACCCAAACTCACGAGAGAAATAAATCTAGCCCATACATATATTTCTCTAGGCCCGGGAATCGAGCCCTGGACCTCTGCGTGACAGTCCAGTTTGGGAACCGTTCGCCCGCGTAGCCAGTTATAATAATATAATAATAATCTTTATTAACTTTTTAGCCTTATCACTAATATACATAAAAAGTTGTTACTAAATATACAATGAAAAAGGCATACGCTAAGGTTTGAGAATACACTGGCTCCTAAACTAGACTAGAGTCTGTGTCTTAGGAGTCAGGTTGAGTTAGATGTATCGTAAATGGTTTGCGCCTTATAAAATATTATCCAGGTTAAAATTTGTTGAAAACTAATTTAAAAAAGAAACTATATAATTAAAAATTAAAAAAGGCAGAAAAAGGGTGTATGTTTGCGCGTGTGTGTGTGTGTGTGTGTGTGCGCGCGTGTGTGTGTGTGTGTGTGTGTGTTAGTGGGTGTGTGTGTTTTTGTGCGTGTTGATATCTGTATGAATCTGTAAGTGCATGAGATGTGTGCGTGGGTGAATCTGCGTGGGTGTATGGAATAAAAATAACAATAATAATGCAATAATGCGAGTGCGTGCGTATGTGAGATTGTTGTTGTATTATAATAATTTAAGATTTAATAATTTAATTTAAGATTTGTTTAGTAGCTCTTCAGTGGTTGAGTAATTTAGCGTCATTAGCCATTTTTCCAATTTGGATTTTACTTCGTAGCTGCATAAACCAACAAAGTTAAGAATTTTGGCAGCGCGGTGGCCTTAGTAATGCAATATAACTTGAACCTAAGACTTATTTCTCTTTAGTCAAGCATAAACTTCATTACTAAGGTAATAAAATTCACAAAGAAAAATTTCAGGGCATTCTTCAAGCCATGTCAAATTACTGATATGATTTGCTACATATTATACGATTAATTCGTTCATATGAAATTACCGCCCTTAAATACCTACATTAATCAACGATTTTCAATGCTCTGAAGCAACTTAATTCAGTTCAACGGTACCTCACGCACTTCTTGATATTTGTGAATCGTGAAAGTATGGTGAGAGTATTCCGGGAGATAGTGGCTCGGTATGCGCTCCGAGCGATCGGGGCGGTTATTAAATTCCTTCCACCCACGGTGGGGAGCGTACCGACCCTTGTTTAATGAATCGAGATTAAAGTTTTAACCGAGGAAACCTGTTTAAGACACAATTTAGGACTCACGACGTTCGTTATACCTTTATTCTATATTAGTTTTCTACTTTTTTAAAACATTATGAAATATAAACGATTTAATTCCGCTACTTACTCGCTATAGTTTTAGTCAAAGACGTTTTCGATTTTTCGCCTTTGAATAATTACTAAAATTAATATTTGAAATATGTAAATTTTACATCGGAAATAATTTCAATTGAGTTTGTTTACGGCTTCACGTGCGTAACAAATTACTTATAATGAATTTGAAATTATTCTTATCGCAATTTTAATTTCTCAAAAGAGTTGTCAGCAATAAACAAATGGACGACGGGTCCAATACAAAAACCACGAAAAATATGTCCTGATTTAACTTATTTAAATAGTTACATGTAAAGGAATATAAAAAAACTAAAATGTTTAATTTAAATAGTCATTTCATTGCAGTAATTTAATAATATAATTTGCTTGCAACAATTTAAGGGCTCAAAAATTCACCATATTCAGCTTCTAATGATTTTTTTTTGTTTTGAAAGCTTTGTTAATTTACATACAAATTTATTTATAATATTATGTGTGTAGATAAATATCCACACATGGTAATTTTCTCGATAAAACTAAGCTAAGCTTAATGAAATTTGGAAAGAAAATAAAAGTTAGTTGTGAAGTGATAAATTCCTAGACTATAGTGAAGCAACAGAGATCAACGAAACCGAAAAATCGATGTTACGAATTTTTACATACGTAGACCCAAATTTTCATAATCCTGAAAACCAATTTATAAAGAATCCGATGCTGGTTTCATTATAAATTGGTTAATATTTAGATTTTTTTTTGTTCGGATCTTAATCGCATATTTTTCAAACAAACCAACGTTTCCAGCCTTTATATGTCCCATGGCTACTTCCTAAATATTAATAATCGCTTAGTTGTAACAATAAATGTAATTTACGTAATTGTTCTCTATCTGTCCTTTGCGTAGAAATGGACAATAAGCTCCTTTTGATTATTTTTATTGATTTTTTATTAGAAACTATTTTTCCGGATTTAAATAGCGTATATTTGTTTTTTTTTTTAACCAACGTTTCGGGCCCTTTACAGGTCCCATGGTCACGGTTGACTGAGACGGTGAAGTCAGCCAGTTCTGTCAAACATTAATGCAAACCATCTTATTTTTCACTATACTTACAATAGTTATTAATTAAATACCTTATTTCTAATTTTACATGGAACATATTTTATTTTACTAATATGATTTCTTTATGAAATTAAATTTATTATTAATAAATAAAGGAATTTAGTGTAAATTATAACATATGAAATAGTACTGCAGTCTGTTTCTGTTTGGGATTACTTCTTTTTTTTTGTTTGGGATCAAAGGAAATATAGCATCCCAAACTGGTGGTACGGAGAAACCGTCCTCCCTGTCGAAATTACGATTTTTTTTAAATTTCAATGGCCTCTCGCAGGATCCTGGGTAGATAACGGACTTCTTTCGCAAGGACCTGGGGTTTGTCCGGAAAAATAGTTTCTTTTCTCTTAGAATAATAACGCATAGAAACCGAGTCCGCACACGCTAAGTGAGGCAAATTGAAGCGCTCCCAATGGGCCTACACGAGCGGGCGGGCCATCAGTGCTCAAGGTCAACTTGCACCGCGAACAGCTCAAGATTTTTAGCTAAAAATGACGAAATGTGCGGTAAATAAGTGTAAAAATACGTCAGACACACATAAAATAGATACTAACATCACATTCCACAAGGAAGTAACGCGTTTCAACTTGTACTTTTATATAAATATTCACTAAAACCGACAATTAACCTACTACTAAAACTAGCCTATATGATTTTCGTCACTCAAAATGCTAATGCGGACTTTCGACTAAATAAAAAGTGAAAAAAAAAATCAATTGTTTTCAACAAATTTTTATTAACATATAATATCGATGATGAAATAAAACCTCATAACTAAACATTTGGGTATCCAAAATAATAATCATAATGTGCCAGAAAACTACATCAATACCACAGAAACTAAGGAATTCCCAGTATTATGAGTATCAGAGCAACGGAATTCACTCAAAATCAAACACAAATTGGTCTTACCGGGAATTGAACCCGGGCTGTTCATCCAGCGTCTATAATGCAAACCATTGGGCGGCCGTCTTAATGCCACTACAACAGCAAATTTAATAATTGCAACGATGGATAAGATTACCAGTTTATATGCCTATATAAGTTCCTATAAAAAAAGCAGTCCAAGTCCTTTTTTTAATTTGTACAGGGTCAAGAACACGTCAAGTTCTTCGCAACTCAACTTCACATTTAAGATTTAACTTTATTTAGCTTGCTATAAAAACTTAATTCATCTTGATTGTACAATCGTGTGCTTTTTATCGCTAATGTCGCTTCATCTTCGATGACAATATAAGGTATGATGTACCTAATTATAACAATTCCTTATAAATACGTTAGTGCATCTATATAATTCATTAATACTAAATTTAGTTACACATCACTATGTTCATATTTAACATTCATTTCTGTCTCGGTATTAGTTTTATCTGTACCTTCGGCGTTTTCCGGGGCATTGGATTTCTGCAAAGAGAACATAAATTTATAATGTAAAAATGTCATATTTGTATTATTAATATATACCGACGTTTATTGGCCAAACGTCGGTGTAGGATGATAGTATTTACCTAAATCCGGAATAGGTAAATCAAAACAAAATAACTATATTTATACAATACAATCGCGAAAACCTAAGAACTCGATATATATTTATACTTACAATAACATAATTGATAAATAAAGAAAACTACTTCAAATATTGTAGATGGGATATTTCGCTTCATGGCTACATTATTTTATTTTTAAAAGTAAGTAATACTGCATTCAAATTTTTTATAAAGTTGCTTGCCTCACCTGGGAACCCAACCGACCAAATGTGAAAAAGCAACTGACATTCAATTGCTTTTTCTACAATATCTTTTTAAATGATAGTATAAATATATATATAATTATTTTATATTTAGATGCTATTTTCATGCATAAAATAGTAGTTTATGTGACTGTTACATAATGAAAGGCATTAAAATACGAGTAACTACGAGGTGGAGTAAATACGAGGGTTTACGAAACGAGCCGACAGGCGAGTTTCATAAAAAGATCACACGAGTGTTGTAATGCCTCATTATGTACAGTTACATACACTGCTTTATCTACACACATAAGCTCTCTGTGATGTGTTCAGGAACCGCATGTTACGACTGGCGAAATGGCGGCAAATAAAAACTTTTCTCACGCATGTCACACAACCGTAGTTTTCATTCATAGACAAACTAGAATCGGCCGCAACTATCATATCGTTCGATATCAAGTAACGTGTGAAATTGCCAAAATTGTTTGCTATTGACATTTGAATTAAATATGAATGAAATATGATTCGAGTAAAACTTCATCTCGACTGATATTAGAATTGAGGTCAAATCGAATTGTTTTGTTTTACAGAGATGTTCGAAATTTGAATGTAACAATAACATCGATTTCGATGTTAATTAAGAAGCAATAATAACATTTTCACAGACAAAAAATTTGTTCTAACAAAATAGTTTACCTTTAGGCTGGTCGTAATTTGCGGTTCTTGAATACATTATAGATAGTTTCTGATATGTGTGGAGACAAAAAAGTTTATCTTATGGCTGGTCGTTATTTGCGGTTTTTCAACACATCGTAGAGGGTTTATGAAATGTGTGTAGAAAAATATTTATTTGTAATAAAATTTTAAATATAATGTTATTCCTTATTGTCTTTTTGTGTAGTAGGACAACCAGGACATTAATGTCTTCGTGCTCCTACCAATAGGAGTACTCAGCAGGAGCACTAACGCGAAAGGGTACTTTAGTATCATTTAAAGTAATATTGTAAACAAATTAAATGTGGGTTACACCACTTTTGAGCTGATAGCCTCAGTTATAGGAATAACAGTAATAGGAATTATAGGAATAAAAATAAAAATGCAATATGCAGGGTTAAACGAATACAATTCTTATGTACCCAGGGCCAGGGTACTAGGGCCAGCGCAAGCTGGCGGATGAATTTATCAATGTATATTTTATGCTATTACAAGCTCTTATTTCAGTAAGGTATACATTTCAATGATCTGAGCCATAGAGAAAGAAGCGCTGCGATACTCCTAGGTCGGTCACACACGTATACACATTTCAATGCTCTGGGGACGACCTTTCACCGGCTTATTTCAATTATGGATCAATGAACTCAAGAGAACTGCTAATCGCGACTCTAATTCTAGTGTTAGCAAAAACAAATAACTAGATGGCGCTTACATAAATTTTCATAGATGCTGCCGGCTATTTTTTAATTTGTTTAGGGTTAGCGCCATCTATCCATGTTAGCAAGCGTTACTTCTTAAATTAGTTTGTAACACAATGCCATCTATTGATAGAAATATTTGTTAAAGTTCTATTAATTAACATTACAAGGCAAAAAACTGACAATTTGCATTTCATATTAAAGAGGAATTAGTCACTTTTTCCAACAATATTCATTTGAATAGCATCGTAAAATCGTATTTGAAAAATGGTAGTCCAAAAGTGAGGTTATTTTTTATCTATGACTTGTCCATGGTTGCGTGCTTTATGAAAAAGACATTCGGTTCATTCCATTAAAGTTTTTGTAATCGATTAGTAAATAAAAAATTTCAATCGCAATCGAACGAGTATCTAAGCGTATCGGTTTGAAGGAGGAATTAAAATTAAAAGGGTAGGAATTAAAAGTAAGGTTATGTAGGGCAAACCGCTAGTAAGACTCAATTAAACAAATCGATTAATTCAATCAATTAATTGATTTGTAGTTGGCATTACAATTGACCATCACTAAACCGTCTATGGTCGGGTCAGTGACTTGTTTGTTTACATTTTGTTCAAACTGGATTGAAACGAAGTATAATAATAATAATTTATTATAGTCTTAAACTTAGTCCTAAACCCTCAGTCAATCAAATCATCAAAACAACTACTTACCTCATCTTCCCTCTCGAACAAAATGGCCAATTCGACGTGTTTCGTATGTGGAAACATGTCTACTGGTACCGCACTGACCGGTATAAATGGAGCTCCACGTAAGGTCTTGGAGGATGGCCGTGCCAGGTCTATAAAGTTTTTCACAGCTGATGCTGGACTGCATGATATGTAGACTAGGCGTTTCACTTTTTTTGTATTTCGCAACTGCGTTACAGCTCGCGTATCTGTGTAAACAAGCGTTAGTTAGGTACTGTAGTACAGGCAGCTTAGGTTTTAAGATATAGGAGATAAGTCGTGTCTCTCAATTTAAGTACCTGGGTCACTGGGTAACCGATAACTTGCATGATAGTTCCGATATGCAGAGGGAGATAAGGGCCCTGTTTGTTATACATATGTAATATGCTCGCCCGCAGGTTTGTTCGTTGCACAAAAGATGTCAAGATCTCATTATTTAAAGCATATTGCCAAAACTTCTACACAAGCAGCCTGTGGGTGAAGTATACGAAGAGAACCCTGAATACATTAAGGGTGCAATATAACAACGCTTTTAGGAAACGCTAATGGGGCTGCCGCGACACTGTAGTGCATCCGGCATGATCACCGAGGCGCACATAGATGGCTTTCATGCCATTATGCGCAAGAAGGCTGTTTCACTCATGATGCGTGTGCGCGGCAGCGCTAATAGCGTCCTAGCCGTTGTTGCCAACAGGCTGGACTGCCCCTACCAACAACATTGGGTGCAACTACACGTGCTTAGGGTAGTGGTCTAGACGTGGCATTTCACTAGAATTAAGTAATTTTGTATTGTACTAACCATAGCACGTAAGAAAAATGTACTGTATTACTACCATTATAATGGATCATGGTCCGAAATAAATAATTCTTTTCTAAAATAATTCTATTCTATTCTATAAATCAGTTTGAGGCGATCAGCGTTTTAAATAATTGGTCAGATGGGCAAAAGAGATACGTGTTTTTGCATTGTATTTGGAGGGGCCAGCTCTACAATGGTACAAAACGTATTTTTCTTCATACGCGATGTATGGTATAATTGCACAACAGCTTAAGGAGGAATTTCCCTCGCAAATAGACTATGCCCGAGAGTTTTATTATAGGCGACATTTGCCTAATGAATCGCTCTTGAATTATTTTTATAGTTTAGATAAGTTAGCGACGAAAACGAAGAGTCAAGTGTTCAGTTTATTAGACATTTCTTGAAGTCTTTGATACCCAGTTTTCAATGGATGCTGGCTAGTAATTTGTATTTGACGAAAGAGGAGAAGAGCAAAAAAATGCAAGTAGAAGATATATTTAATACGGTTACGATGTGGGTCGACAAAATATTGAATTGCCAGTATATTTTCATAAGGAGCACTCTCACTGTTGGCAAACACAGGGTGTCTCTACACAGATAGTTGGACCCGAGTCTAAACAGTCGGAATATCAAGTGCCACGGGCACCAATCGTGCAGCAAGATACGCCACGTCAAGTGTATTCATGGGCATATAGTAGTGGATCTTCGTCGGTATCTCCTCAACGTGGATGTCAGCAAAGCGCGGCTGAATTTAGGAAATTTGTATACAATTGATTTTTAGTGTAGATACGGCACCTTTTATATCTGTTTTTGTTAATAATGTAAGGTGTGTGGCGTTGGTGGATACTAGTGCTTCGGTTTCAATAATCTTTCGTTGTTTTGCAGAAAGGCTACATTTGCAGATTGATGATACTCCGAGTTTTCCATTGCGTCTGGTGGGCGGAATGCCAATAAAGTGCAGGTCCACCAAAGTGTCGTCAATTAATGGAAATAAATACCTATCGGGGTTGCTTGTTGAGCAAGGTGGTGGGGAATTTAAAGTCCTCGGCCAGGATATTTTAAAGGAATATTATTTCAAGTTGTCAAAATTGAAAATTGACAATAAAATTTCTTCTAAATCCATAACAGATATCGGATCAAAGAAAGAAAAGTCTTCTATCGGGCCCGTATCAAAGTTCTGATAACTTGTCGGTAAAGAACTCGGAATACATACATTCATCTCGGTTATCGGAAGTAAAGAAAAAAGTTGACGTAAGTGGCAAGATGGGTCAATGGCGTCAAAAGGGTAATTAATTCCTTAGAAAAATGTTGTAAATATGTTTGGCCGAAAGTGCGTGGTTCGTATGAAGACAAATTACGCCTGAGTTATATAAGTTGGAAAATGGTAATTTTAAACGTGGTTTTATAAGTGTTGCGGAAAATATACGGGAAAATTTTTGGAAACGAGCAGCCTTGATTGGTTCGTACAAATAGCAGATAGGAAGTACACGGTCAGAACAGGAGCGGAATTTTGATAAAAAAACTAAGTTTGTTTTTTTTTTGTTTTTCTTTGTTGTCCTGGAGATATGATGATATGCGGAAGTTAGGTTAACTAGATGTACTCCTAGTTTGGTAGACAGGATCTCTGGTAGACGGTGTATCTTTATATTGATGGATTTTTTTTCCGGCGAATGCAGACATAGAAAGACGGGAGGAGGAGATGGGCTACCGAGTTGGATGAATATAACGTATTTTTAATTTTATGAATATATGTTTTATATGTATTACACACACACATACACACACACACACGCACGCACGCACGCACGCGCGCGCACACACACACACACACACACACACACACACACACACATATTTACATTATATATATATATATATATATAATCCTGTGTATGTGCATAGTTGTTGCTCATTCGTTCAGATGAACAGGAACTGTCTGCATTCAAGGGAAAATATATTTGTGTAATTATTAGGAATCCTCCATATGATATATCGCCATATCATATTGGTGTTAGGAAATGTTGTTGTTGTAGTTAGGATAATTCGTGTCCTTTTTGGTCAATTGTTTTAAGAAAGTAAGAAAATGTGATGGAACGTGGATAGCTGCAGGACGAGGTCTAAGGCAGCTGGGAAGTCAATATTGATGTTCCCCAGTGGACGCCCGATGGGTGCTCAAGTCTGTGATGTCGTCGTAACAGCGTGCACGATGAGGATTGTTATTTGTTTGGATATATAAAGATTCTGGTAGAATTTAGGCTAGGTAGGAAACTTGAATGAAGAATTAAGGTTTTATAGCTAGGACAGCTAATAAATATATTTAGATTGTTTGATTAGGATGTGGTCATAGTCTCTCCTTTTAGATAGGTTTTTGACAGTTTAAAGCTACAGCCTTCTCGGTGGTTTTGTTTATTAGTAAGTGAAAGCTTCCGAGCAGTGTGTGGCTAGCCTATAGTAAAGGCTGATCACTTATGTATGTATGTTGCCTATCATAGGTAGGGCACTAGCTAGGGATGTTCACCCCTTCAGTTGTGAGGAAGAGGGATGTAGTACAGGCAGCTTAGGTTTTGTATTTAAAATTTTAAGAATAATAGTGTTAATATCTGGACAAAGTTTTGAAATTGAATACACGTTAAAGTTATATATATAATGGGCGTTTATATTTATAAAGTACCTCTCACTACGCAAGCCCTAGTTACGTTTCTATGCTATAGTACATCTTTAACAAAAATATTTTTTTTATGACTTGAAGCATTGACGTACAATTATATGGACGTCGGGTCCGCGCTAAAAAGTGTCCGAACTTATAGGGCGTTAAAATCGTATACAGAGCGTCATTCACGCTTTAGTCTTCGTCTGTTCGACTACAGCGAAGCGAAAATTAGACAGTACTGCGATGACATTACAATTTAAATTCAACGTTTTAGCTTTTTCATATTCCTTTACATGTCACTACGTTTAAATAGGTTGACTTGGGACATTTTTTTCGTGGTTTGTGTATTAGACCCGTCGTCCATTTATTTGTAAGTCAATGAGTTGAAGGCTGAATTTACATTGCCGCAAAACGGAAAAGAAGCGAATTTTGTAGCATAGTGAACTTTATATGAATTACGTAACGCTCAAATTATACTCTAGACAAATTTGACGTAGAACGATCTACTACGACCATCGATCAACGGTTGGCGTGCTCTGATTCGCTAACCGGTTTTGCTTTACTCGGTGCAACTGCTTATGCTCGCCTATTGCAACCGCTACCCTCCAAAGTAAGTCTAACTGCCATTATCTATTATTTCTTTTGTATCACCAATTGTTTTATTGCCTTTTGTCACTAATTACCCATATTGTGCTATCTCAATGCTATTTCAACCTTACCTTTGTTAAAATTAAATTTACAAATATTTTTAAATTTATTCATATGCTAACTGCCTCCGTGGCCGAAAGGTTACCATGCCGGACTGCCACGCATAGGTCCCAGGTTCGATTCCCGGGTCGGGAGAAATATTTGTATGGCCTACATTTATTTCTCTCGTGAGTTTGAGTGTAATTTGTGGTTGTCTATGTGTGTGTCCATGGCACCCGCGACACAGGTTTCCCTAGCGCGGGGCTACGTTAAATGTGTGCGTTTAAAAAAAAAAAAAAATTACACTGTCCTATTAAGAATGAGCCCATTTAGAGTTTATTATCAAAATGTACGCGGTCTGAGAACTAAAACCACGACATTCCTTAGAAACATTTCTTTATGTTCGTATGACATAATTTGTCTCACGGAGACCTGGCTAAACGATACCTTTTATAATAGTGAATTGTTTGACGATCGTTTTATGGTCTGGAGACGTGATCGGAATTATAAATCGACTGGCCAGAATATGGGGGGCGGGGTTCTGATTGCTGTGCGCAGAGACATGGCAGCTGAGAGTCCACCTGAATGGTCTTCAAGCGCTGAGGATCTTTGGTCACCTTGATCACCCTATCTTTGAAAAACCGTAATTCAAGATCTACTTACAAAATGCATATTGGTGTAGTTTACATTTGTGATCAGAATCTCGGTAACTCGATGTCGGTTCAACTATCGAATTTTGCATTTAATGTAACTAAAATTACATTACGTAACCCTTTAGACAAAATAATTATATTTGGCGATTTTAATATGCCATTCGTCTCGTGGACTGTAGATAGTAATGATGGAATATCTTTTCTCCATTCCAATCTTCAAGGCCGTCACAATTAATAGATAGTACATGTTCTCTCTTACAATCTAACTCTCTTGTGAACAAGTTATGGTCGGATTTTGGATTTAATTTGTTCAAACAACGTTGTTCATGTTAACGCTTGTGATCGTCCGCTTGTCCCAGGAGATCCCCACCACCGTTCTGTGGTAACTACTGTAGAATTTGTTCAATTACACATAATTAAGCCGCGCGCTTATATTAAGTACCTATAGAATACTGGTGATTTTAATTCTATATGTGCCGACCTGGATGTTGTCGATTGGCGTTCTCCGCTTAATAGTCGAAGTATCGAAGATACAGTCTTGATCTTTTATGATACTATTTATAGCTTGCGTGATAAATATATTAATAGTACTGTAGTTTCGCCTTCTCGTAAGTACCCGTTATGGTACAAGCGACCCTTAATTAAATTATTTAGAGAAAAGGCGAAATTTCACAAAAAATATAAAACTTAAGGCAATGCTTACGACCGTGACTCATTCGTCTCATTGCGTAAGAGGGCGCATGAGTTGGAGGAAACTATGTATAATTATTTCAAATATTAAAAAGTACATAAAATAAAATCCCCGGTAACCGTTCGTCCGATCAAGGTGACGAAATTTGTAACTTGTTTGGCGAATATTTTCATTCAACTTTTCTAAATCACCACTCCCCTAACACCCTGATAGATTCAATTTCAATTGCTTATCCCGACTAATCTGCTGATATATCTACTGTTGAAATAATTGAAACAAATGTTTTAAAATTATTGAAATCTTCAGATTTAACGAAATCTGCAGGCTCAGACAACATTCCCGTAATATTAATAGTTAACTGTGCAGCGAAATTAAACTCGCAGATATCACTTTCTTCCATTATACAAACAGTGAGCCCTTGGCTGATTTAACTTACTTAACTAACATAGCAACCGGCACTGTCGATTGCACTGAACTCTTTGAGCAAATAGGACTACGCACAGGCAAGGTTGCACTGAGAAATCCTGTCATACTTTACGTTCCTAGAGTTAGGACAAATTATAGACAAAATGCATTTCTAAATAGAGCGTCTTGCTTATTTAACTCCTTACCTAATAGATATGGTGAGGTGGACTTTTTTAACACCAGTACAACTAAACCGCTTACTCAGTGATATGTTTTTTTCTTCAAATGTGTAGATACTATAACTTTCTTTAACTAACTTTAATTTCGTTATTTTTATTTTATTTATTTATTTTAAACACTAAGAATATTACAAAAATATATATACATCACACCCTTAAACCTACATTGGTTTGTCCGGGTGCTGCACGTTCTCCTTAATTACATCTTAATATTACATTCTTATATTTAATAAGCTAACAAAAGATTACAAATTATTAAATTATTTATTATGTTTTTTTCTTTAAGTCGGCAACTTACTTTGTAGTTTGTTTCTATCACTGTAAATAATTATCTGTGGAAACTTTTAATTAGCCCTCAGCTCAGCATACAACTAACCTGTCAGGCGTGTATTATACTTTATTCCTTTTATATATATAATTACCTCGCTGTAAGTTTTCCAAAAACAAAGAAATAAAAAAAATTAAATAGAATGTTCAATAACAAAATGTTGTTAGGTAACCAATATTTAATTATTGTTAATTTTTATGTTGATTTCAAAGAACGTACTAGTGATTTTAAATTTCTATTGAACAAAATTCATCCATCACAGACATGTCTTCAAAATTAGTATTATCAATAGCCTAATTGAATTTCGGGGAAAAACATTAAAATTGCGTTAACTGTAAAACAGTCTGAGATGAAAACCCTAAACATCATATTAAGTTTTTGTTTGTCGACATTTATTCTACATCGAATTTGAATAGAGTATAGATACTTTATTTTATTTATTTATTTATTTATTGCATACCACACATGAAGCTTACAGGTAGTACTTACAATATGGCACTTACAATACAATACTTACTATATGGTAGCTGCGAGAGTGTTCGAGACTATAGGGTAGAATTTTCTGGAAGACGCGCGATCTATTTTTTAGCTGTTATCTAGTTTGTATGTTACATAATCATAAAGTTCATTATGCTATGGTTACCAAAAATTTGCTTCCATACCGTAGAAATATATAAATTGAACCTAAATCGCCTTTTAAAAGACTGAACGATTTTGTTAATAAGCTACAAGTAACTTGTATACTTACGTAATCCAGCTCTCGGAGGATCTACAATAGCGACGACATTTTCCTCGTTAGCCCGTGCTAGCACCGTGGGTAGTATATCCTCGGCTTTGCCCGTGAAGAACTGGCAGTTCTCTATATTGTTAAGTTCAGCGTTCGCTTTAGCATCCTTCACAGCTTCTGCTACGAGCTCAAGGCCCAATACTTTACCACAATGCTGAAAGAACGTAAATATATAATAATAGAACAGCTTACTAACATTAATAGACCAGCTTTAATATACAGATTATAACATAAATGGCATATCAATACCAAGCGGACTAACTTAATTATGGCTACAATTTACCTAGCATAATTTTATGTTATGGTTAATCACAGAATGTTAAAATCCAATCCGATGTTTTCAAAATCCGAACTTCGACAACACTAGGAATGCATCTACACCAGCTGTTCAGGCGCGTCTAACTTCAAAGCCAGAATAACATAACTTCAACAATTTTAAAACAAAAGACGGGTTCCCAAGTGTATGTACTGGATTTGTCATTTCACTTTGGACATCAAACTGAATTTCAAGTTAAAGTTTAGGCGATAGGTCCTAGGTAAAAAACCGTGTCTAAAAAGCAAACATTGAAAAACTAATCTTTTAGAAAGTGTTTATAGTTTAGTTTCGCGTCCTTTATAATTGAATATGTAAGTTATAAATTCAGCTAAAGTACAAAAGATTTTATTACCAAACGTTCAGATATTTTAAAAGTACCTATATGGCAAAATTGTTCGTGACTACAACTTCCACAAGTTTCTCGTTTACCAGTTAGCTATTGTAATTAAATGTTTACCTTAGTCTCTTAGTAATCGGTCATTCTCAGACTAGTGTTCACTACCTAATTTCTGTGGCATTTTTTATTATTTCAATATTCGAGTATATTATCGTGTAATTATGAAATAATATTTCACGATACAACACTCGAATATTAAATAATATTGCACCATACAAATTTGTCACGGATATTTGGTAGTGAACACTAGTCCGAGAATGACCGAAAGATGTTCGGTTAAATTTACGCAATGATATTTTATATTTGAATTATCGTATATATATGGTGTCAGAACAGCGTAAGAGTACTTAATTTGTTACTTACTTATAATATTGATAACTTAATTTATAAGATTATAGACAGAAGGTTAAGATATAATGTGTCGTTTTGCCAGATAAACGGTTTCTCAGTAATAATTGGACGTAGTTAAACAAAAAGGATACAATGCACATCCAGTCACTTTCGAGATATGGCAGTTTGAAGTTTAGAAGTATTTCTCACTCTTGTTTTATTTTCGAAACTTATATTGTCATGTAACTCCAGAGATTTTTATATATGTTTATATGTTGGATTTTTTTGCTGAATTAGAGAGGTTAGACGTTTGGTACCAAACGGTTCCATAAGTCTATATAACTCATTTTATGATAATTTTGTGGATTGGATCCTTTTTGCTTAACTACGTCCAATTATGCCTGTATACACTATACCCTTACATTTTGTAATTAAATCTCTACGTAAGGTCACTAACTACAAAACATCAATGAAAACATTAAGCATGTTAATCCAACCTTAGCAAAGCAAAGTCCAATAGTGCCGGTCCCGCAGCATATGTCGACAACAGTTGTATTTTTGTCCACTTTACTCATTTCTATTGCGTTCTGGTAAAGTATCTCCGCACCAGCCGTGTTTATCTACAATGAGGAGTAGAATAATTTCTTTTGGTATAATGGAATGCAATGACACATTTTATTTTTTGCAGCAGTAGAACTTCTCGTGAGTTTCATTGCTGAGAATTTAATTTCATTTTTTGAACTGAATTTGCCATTAAAATAGTTATAATATATTTGGCTGTATCTTATATAAATGGAAAAGATTATAGCTAATTAGTTCTAAACTATGGCAGACCTGTTATTTACTACTTCAGTATTACAATTACACCTACTACAATTATTAGAATTAGCCTGATGTAACCCACTGCTGGGAAAAGAGAGGCCTTAGGCCTACTGCAATAATTATATTTTTTTTTAATGCTTTGAGATATTTTGAATTCAACTCAAGACTTAATACAGAGAACGAAATTAGGACTCAATTAGCTATATTATTTAGTAGCTCCTTGTGAAAGATTTCGTTCAGGACAGTACTGCCACCTTACAATAATGTCTGCATTATTGTGTTCCGGTTTTGAAGGCTAAGGGTGCTGATGAAATTACAGGCACATGGGACTTATCAACTTATGTCTCTAGGCGACGACGTGCGCAGTGGCAGTACCTCTCAGATCTTTGCGATTTAAAGCTCTGAGTGGCACTGCAACTGTTATGGACAGGCGTGTAACTTACCATCAGGCGCACAACATGTTCGTCCCGTCACTTATATTATAAAAAAATATCGTGATGAAACCTGCACGTCGCAGGTTTACAACTTTCGGAAATAGTAAATCCCCAACCCGCAACGGGCCAGCGTGGCGGACTATGGTCTAAACCCCCACCTGAGACGTGACCCGTAGCTAGCAGTAGGACGTATAAATGGGTTGATGATGATGAAAAAGTTGTTTAATCGAAAGGCACTGTATTTAAAATGAGTTGTATAAGTAAATTGAGGGAATGTTTCGGGTTACATTATACTATGTACTCCTAGGATGTTATTTATGATTACCTGAAAGAACGCTTCTGGTGATATCCTGAACTGCCTGTTGAGTATCGTGTCTACGATGTGAGTTGCTCCTGACAGGTGAGTGGGTTTTGCTGCTTCTTCGCCTGCTCTCCTAATAATTTAAGGCATTTTATGAATATTATCGTCCAAAATAAATGTTTAGTTCTTTTGTTGTGGGTATCAAAGTGATCAATAGCTTTATATTTTATAAAATACCTTCGTATTTATTTTTATTTATCCTTAATAGTTTTACAATTACGAATATCAGCGCAAACGTGGTAAATAAATAATATAATTATTGTGCATTTGTGTGCTATTTTCATGTATGAACTTTTTTAACTGCCACAATGGCCGAACAGTTACCGTGCCGGACTGCCACGCAAAGGTCCCGGGTTCGATTCCCGGGACCTCTGCAGCCGGGAGCAATATTTGTATGGCCTACATTTATTTCTCTCGTGAGTTTGAGTGTAATTTATGCTTGTCTATTTGTGTGTTGATCGCACCTGCGATATAGGGCTTCCCTAGTGCGGGGCCACGAGTGTGTGCCAGTGTTGGGCAAAATTTAATTGTTCTGGCAATTAAAGATTGACAATTGATTAATTGTTAATTGCGAAACAGCAATTAACGATTGATCAATTGTTAGTTGCGAGAACCGCAATTAACAATTGGGTCAATCAACTTTTAAGTGTCCTGGTTCATGAAATTTTTAATTTTAATTTGATTGAAGATTTTAATACACATTATTATTTTATACGCTAGGTAATTCATTCTTTTATAGGATTCCGCGATTAGCAGTGCACTTATCGTCAAAAAAAATATAATTTTTGACTTAAAAATCCGAAGGTACCCAATAGCATCTGTCCCCTGTACCACTAGTTGAATATATTTTTTAATCATGTAAACTTTATTTAAAATTAAAACCAACACTTCAGTTTTATGAAATATGTAATAGATTATAACTTTTTATATTTGTTGGAGCGGTATGATACATAACTTCAGAAATATCACCATTAACAGTGTCTCTTGGACAACGATTGTCCTATCACTCAGTGGAATTATTCACTAAAATAGTAAATCGAACATTATTTGTTATAAAAAAATAACAAACAAATTTTTTTCATACTTTGCTATTTATCTCTTAAAGCTTACTGAAAATTTTTGTGCTTTATAAAAAAAAAGATGGATAATGTTATTGTTAAACATGGGGACAATCGGGTTGTCCAATAGACATGTTTGGTTGTCCAAAGGAAATATTAACTTCTAATGCTAATTATTAACTTCTAATTTTGTGTTATTTCAAATGAATATTGATAAGGAACAAAAAGAAAAATTTACGTTAAAAATTAATACAAACCAAAGTACGACTTGCATAAAATAATAATAGAAGTTTTTAAGTGCTTAAGAAGCAATCAACATCCTTAAAACAATTAGTCTTATAATCAACTACACAACTTAGACTAAGCAAAGAACGCTTTGAGATTTTAATAAACAGTCTCGTTAAAACTATCACTACGGAAAACATTGTGCGCAATAGTCCATTGCAATGAAGAAGCAATTAGACATGAAACAATAAACTTGTCAAACAAAATAATAACAGACTTTTTAACAGAACAATAAGAAGCAATGAAATCAACGCTATCAATAATATTAAAACTAACTTCGAAGATAATCAACGTCGCTAAAAACAATAATAATTTAAATAACTTACTCTACGCAAACTAAACTTTGCAGTCTTTAAAAAACAGTCACATTGATACAATCATTACGGACTACTATATCCAGGTACTGAAGTTTAATAATAACATTTACTTAAAAATCTATCATAGTTCTTTTTTCTTATGCATAATAGAGATCAATAGGTGTACGTTAAGAAACTTATTTTTCAAAAACATTAATATTATTTAAAAATTTATAGTAATCAACCCCTCTTTTGGCTTGTACTTCTGGACAATCAAGTTTCCTAATTATATCTTCATACGCTATGTATGATACATCTTTCTCATCTGTAACAAACAGTTTTCCGCCTTTTACGCACTTCAAGAATACCACTTTGATTTCGCCGTCCTCTTCAATGTCGCTTTGTGCAATGCATGCATACGTATGGAACGATCGACTAAAATCACAGCTTCATTTGAACGGATCTCATCAACACTTTGTCGAAAATTCCTGTACTGGGTTTTCATATTAAAAACATGTTTCTTTAGAGTTTTCATTTCTTCTTCAAAATCCCTTACCATGTTTTCTACTGTGTCTTCCTTCAGTTTTTTTACGTTCTTGACAGTTTTCATTTTTGTCCCTTCTTTCAGGTAGGTTTCCATTTCTCTCACCCACTCAAACCATTGTACGAGGGTGAATCAAATATAAACGGTAATTTTACTGTTGACTGTACCAAATACGTTCGGACCTGATGTGGCGGTGTTGTTGTTGTTGTTTTGTTTAATAGGAGTGGGGGTAACAGCTTACCTCGCAGCAGTGTTGTGTTCTGCCGTCAGTACAGCCATGACCGAGCAAGAGGTACATCCATCTGTTGCGCAACGCATCGTCATAAAATTTTTAGCAAATGAAGATGTTAAACCTTCGGAAATTTTTACTCGTTTGCGGGCACAGTTTGGGGACACTACTCTGTCTCAGAATCGAGTGTATACGTGGGCCAGAGAATTTCGGGATGGACGAGAACGTGTGGAAAACGAAAGTCACCGTCGACGCCCAAGGTCAAGTCTTACAGATGAAAACATTAGTGCCGTTCGAGAGCTTATTGAAGGTGATCGCCGGTTAACTGTTCAAGAAATCTCGTCGGAAATTGGTATCAGCTACGGGAGTGTTCAGTCTGCAATCACAGACCACCTTGGCTTCCGAAAGATTAGTGCTCGATGGGTTCCGAGGTTGTTGACCGGAAATAAAAAACAGGTCAGGTCGGTGATCGCTGGGAGACTTCTGCATCGATTTCAAGAAGAAGGTGAAGATTTTTTGAGGCGCATCGTCACATGTGATGAGACGTGGGTCCACCATTACACTCCCGAATCGAAAATGGCAAGTAAGGAGTGGCGAAGGAAGGATGAAGGCTGCCCAGTGAAAGCCAAAACTCGTCTCTCAGACGAAAAAGTTCTTGCAACAATTTTTTTTGACTCAAGGGGAGTTCTACTCATTGATTTTCTTCACGATCAACGAACAGTGAATGCAGCTTACTACTGCCAGGTCCTACAGTCGGCAAAAACCAGTTACCGGAACAAAAGAAGAGGTGTGCCCATTAGAGATGTCATCCTTCTCCATGACAACGCAAGGCCTCACACCGCATTGTTGACAAGGGATAAATTGGAAGAAATGGGCTGGGAAACTCTCGAACACCCTCCTTACAGTCCAGACTTGTCCCCTTGCGACTACTTTTTGTTTGCTCCCTTGAAAGAATCACTTGGAGGAAAACGATTTGAAAGCAATGACGATGTCGAGAAGCACGTGCGCGATTGGTTGACAACTCGCCCTCAATCTTTTTATGAAGAAGGAATATTCAAGCTTCCAAATCGGTGGCAGAAGTGTGTAGATAATGCAGGAGACTATATTGAAAAATGTTGAAGGTATAGTTTTTGTATAATATTAATCAATAAATATGATTTTAAAAATTACCGTTTATATTTGATTCACCTAATATTTTATCTTTAACAGCATCTACGTTTATTTTGATTTTTTTATTCTTACAGTCTTCACAAATCCCTAACATGCAATCATGTTTATTAATGTCACAAACAGTTTCCAAAATCAGTGTACTTAGGTTAGTGCTATCGATTACTTTTCTATTTTTTAAAGCTTTTATTTTAACTGCTGCATTTGTGTGTGTTCTACAGAGACACATATCCCTGCCATCCACAGTTGGTCTAACTATATAGAAGGGTCGATGTTTAGTGAAATAGTAGTATGAACATTTGATATCCGGATTTTCGGACCTAAACGCTTTAAATAGGTTTTTCATGGAGTCCAAGAGGAACCGTTTCTGTGCTTTCTCTTTGCTTTTGGTAACGGTCTCTTTTTTGCCGGCAGTATTTCTTGACACATCATCTCTTTGGAAAAAACATGCTATCTTATTTTTCAGGACCGTATTTCCACTGCATGCACTTTTAGTTGTTCTCATTCTTCCTTGTAAACCTAAACCCTCTTTTATGATTTTATTCTTTTCAGATGCATTTATGTCTTTAAAAATATTTTTCAATATTGTTTTCTCTTTTCGGATTTTAATTTTTTTATATCTTTCTCTAATGGTATTTGTTAAAGTTTTATATTTGTTGTGGTATCCTTCAGTACTTATACCTGCATTTATTTCTTCTGACTCTTTTTCTTTAATCTTACGTATTTCTTTTTCCTTGCGAGCAGCTCTCTTTTTATATTTTTCATATTTTTTCTTCCACATCTGAGCTTCGCTTAGTAATCGTAAGTTTTCTTTATATAATTTAGTTCTATCTCGACGAACCCTTTTTCTTCCGTTTTCTTTATTTTTATGATTTGAAAACACATCGGGACTTGGAAGCGGAGTGGGTACATTTAGGGCTAGGGGTATATTTATTTCCTGCAGAATGGACGGGGAGCTTGGAGGTGTAACGGCAAGTACGTTTTCAATTGTTTTAATTCGTTTTCTTTGTTCTTGTTTTCGCAATTTCCAAATAGTCCTGCAATGTTTTTGTTCGCTCGGCTGCATATTTGAAATCAATTTTTTGTTCTTATGATAGCTTTCTCTCTTTCTTCTTTTTCGTTCAGCATATTTTTCTGGCCCGCTTTGAGTTTTTCTCTATAGCGTCTCGATTTTTCTTTTTCAGACATTCCCATTCTATAAAATAAATACCAAAAATCATATAGAACAACTATTTTAAACATGTAAAGCCAGGAAAATTAATAAAATTTGTAGTTTTATTATACAAAGAATCAAACTGCACGAATTGGTCCTACGGACAACCAATCATGTCCCATGGACAACCAATTTGGTTGTCCAGACGACAGGTTGTCCAAGGGACTTTTTTAAAAATTTAAGCTACCTGAGCAAGAAGTGAGGTTTTGTGTCTTTTATATCACTCTCACAATAAAATCAAGAGTAAATACAATCTGTTGCACTATAATTTAATATAATATAACAATCTATTTACCTATTTCTTGTGGTGGTCCGGGGGACACGCAATAAACACACCCACGTTCGAACTCGGACCTCGATCAACTGACGCCACGGTTTCGCCGAAATTAAGATGGCGACTAAGTCTATTCGCTTACTGGTATAAATAGCTTTTTGTCATTATAGCTGTCGCGCCATCTCTGTATTGTTGCTAGAACTTTTTACCGGTTGTCCGATAGACTTAAGCCACGTAAGATTTTACGGGGACAAAAACTTAATGCAAAAAAATCCTAAAATGGATAAAATAAAAAATATCGATACGTTTTTTTGACAACAGTTATAATCATAATGTTTAAATATGTAATTACAAATACCTGCTGGATATTGATTTTTTTCGTGGCATGAAATACCATGGTGCGACGTTACTTGGGGACAAACGTTAATACTATGGATCGAAGTTTTGGGTCACTCGGACAACCATTAAATAATGGATAAATTTGAATATTTAGTAAAGATGTTGGTTAATGATATATTTATTTTAGTATTCATTTTAAGAAAACTATACATAAAACAATTATAGTTTTAAAGAATTCTTGTTAGTGGTCTCACTTTGTCTGGGACACAATGAGTTGGTCGTCGGACAAGTAAAAGTTGATTGACCCAATTAATCAATTGTTAATTGCGGTTCTCGCAACTAACAATTGATCAATCGTTAATCGCAAATATCTACAATTAACAATTAATCAATTTTCAATCTTTTCAATGTTTTTGATTAACAATTAACAATTAAAACTGACAAATATGATAAATTTATAGGGCATATGGGGGTCAGTTAGTCCCGGTTGGGGGCCCCGGTTGGGATCCCCGGTTGGGGGCCCGGTTAGGGGGCCGGTCGGGGCTCGGTTGGAAGCCCCAGATGGGGGCCCCGGTTGGGGGGCCGTTGGGGGCCCTGTTGGGGGCCCGTTTGGGGGGCCCGGTTGGAGGCCCCGGTTGGGGCCCCCGGTTAGGGCCCCGGTTGGAGCCCCCCGTTAGGGCCCCAGTTGGGGGCCCGGTTGGGGGCCGCGTTGGGGCCCCCGGATTGGGAGTCCCGGTTTGGGGGCCCCGGTTTGGGGGCTCCGGTTTGGGGATCCGGTTTGGGGCCCCCGGTTTGGGGGGCCCGGTTTAGGGGCCCGGTTTGGGCGTCCCGGTTGGGGGGCCCGTTTGGGGGCCGCGGTTGGGTGGCTCGGTTGGGGACCTGGTTCGGAGCCATCAGGCCCGCCAGGCCAGGTCCCCAAACCGGGTCCCTAAACCGGGGCCCCCAAACCGGGTCCCTAAACCGGGGCCCCCAAACCGGATCCCCAAACCGGGGCCCCCAAATCGGGACTCCCAAACCGGGGCCCCCAAACCGGGGGCCCCAAACCGGGGCCCCCAACCGTGCCCCACAAACGGGCCCCCAACCGGGCCCCCAACTGGGGCCCTAACCGGGGGCCCCAACCGGGG